GGAGGAGGAGGGGGTGTGGGAAATTAAGCGAGGAAACGAGGAAAGGAGGCGAGGAAGGAAGGAAGGGAGGGAGGAAGCAGCGGGAGGAATAAAAAATGGTGCCCCGGGAAGGATGTGCGGAGAGGGGGGAGGTTGTGATCGCGACAGGCAGCGGCGGCGCACAGCGGTGGAGAGAGGAAGGAGGGAGGGAGAGATTGAAAGATGGATGGATGGAGAGAGGGAGGGAGGGAAATGGAGAGGGAGGAAGGGAGGGGGTGATGGGTCTGAGCGCACGCAGAGATGTGTGAGAGGAGAGGGAGTATTTAGGCTCGGGATGACAGCGGAAGCGTGGCCATTTTTATCACCGACGGCTTTTTATAGAAACACAACTGTCAACAATGGGCCTTCGTTTTCCCTACGCCGAGCCAACTCCTGTCGTATCAAATAGGACGGAAATCAGATTCTATAGTTACGTTTCTCGTAAAGGTGCACGGTGTAACTTTTCTGTTAGGGTTCGCTTTGTCTGAAATGGATCGATTATTGTTTCCGTCTCCAGTTCAATTCCATTAAATTTTATTTATATTCAGAATTTGGGAAGGTGACTTTTAAAATGTATTCCCCTACAGATTACAGATTACATACCCCAAAATGTAGTTTGTAACGTAATCCATTAAATTATTTAAAGTGAGTAATGTAATCTGAATACTTTGGATTACTTGATTTGCTGTAGAGAAGCAAAGACGAGGAAATCTTCACATAAGATGTTTTATCTGCTAAAAAAAAATAAAAAGGCCAGACTTTACTGAACCAAATAAAAAATATTATTGATAGAAGACGATGAGACACGTCCACACAGCAGGATTTAGTCCCGTTAAATCCTGTTTTAGACCTGGTTTTTGTCCTGGTTTAGTTCTGGTTTAGTAATGTTTTAGTGCCGGTTTAGTCGTCGTTTTAGACCTAGTTTTAATCCTGGTTTAGTCCTCGTTTTAGTCCTGGTTTAGTAAAGTTTTAGTCCTATTTTAGTCCTGTTTTAGTCCCGTTTTAGTCCTGGTTTAGTCCTAGTTTTAGTCCTGGTTTTAGACCTGGTTTTAGACCTTGTTTAGACCTGCTTTAGTGGCCGACAGTGAGTGGAATTACCAAAAAAAAAAAAAAAAAGGATACAAAAAAGGATACAGCCCAAAATGTGAAAACAGGAAAATCCCTCTGTGTAATCCATTTATTTCAACAAAGTAACTGTAATCCAATTACCACTCACTGAAACAGACTAACTAACCGAATACAGTTACTCATAATTTATACTCTGATTGCGTAAGTCTGGTACATGTAATCTGCTTCTTAATGTGTTGTGGCTTTTTAATGTGTTGTGGCTTTTTAATGTGTTGTGGCATTTGCGTTTGTGTTGTGGCGTTTGTATTTGTTGCAGCGTTTGCATTAAAATAGTCCCGCGGTCATTTCCGTTGTGTCTTTTTTTTGGTGTGTTGTGGCTTTTTGTTGTGTTGTCGCATTTGTATTTGTTGTGGCGTTTGAATTTGTTGTGACCCCTCTCGGCTTCCGTAGACTGGACCCATAGAGTGCAAACATTTGAAAACAATCACATTTTAAATTGCACCCGATGTAAGATAGGGAGCCAGTGCAGGTCACTCAGCACAGGTGTGATGTTCTGGACGTGTTGTAAGTGCTGCAGGAGCCCTGGCTGTTACGAAAGCATGGATAGGTTTTTTGAACTCTGCCCGTGCAAGGCAGAGCTTTACTTTAGCGAGGAGCCTTAACTGAAAGAAGCTGGACTTAATTATAGCGAGCTCTAATGTGCTCGTCCAGTTTGAACATGGAGTCCACAGTCACCCCAAGATTCCTCACTGCAGAGAGACAATAGGAGGACGGAGGACCAATCACACTGTCATGTCCAAGCTGTGGGTTAGTTTACCCAAACACCACAATCACAATCACAGTCTTGCCCATCACCTTCACCTTTCACTATTTTTCAATTCCGTTGGGAAGAGAAACAGTTTGAACAGAGGTTTGCAGTCACACACATCTGATTCCCTTTTGCATTTATGGAGTTTGCGAAGAAATTTCTCGAGCAGTTTTCCGCTGTTAGGATCCAACAACCACACAATTACAATGTCCCAATCCTATAACTAAAATATGACAATATCAGAACCAGAAACAAAAGTGATATTATTCAAAAGACTAGAAAAGACTGACTTTGTCAACAGACGCATCCCACTGAGAAAACAAACATGGAGGTTTGATGCTCACTTTTTCAGAAAATCTTTCCCAGTATGAATTGCACAATGACCGGAAGTCTGAGATTCTTGATGCATCTATTGGACACCACAGTTTTCTAACACAGAAATCAGTGCTCTTGTTTCTTTTATTAAATCGTTTTAGATCAATATTGTGATTTAAAACTACCAAATTATAACGGAATGATCCACGGGTGTCACAGATAATAACTCTACACCAGAGGTGCTCACACTTTTTCAGCATGTGAGCTACTTACAAAATGACCAAGTCATAAAGATCTACCTAATACAAAGCCAAGCAAACTGCACTGAAACACTCTGTGCCCCTTTTTTGGACCCTCCCCCACAGTTTGAGAACCTCTTCTTTAAGAGAACTTCCTCTGGCACTTTACACAAAACTGTGAAAAAAGTGAAGGAAGATTTTTAAACCTGTTTTTTTAAAGTTCCAAACTGGAGTTACATTCTTTTCTGGTTTTGCAGTGATATTTACCAGCCTCTGCACGTTTACCAAACCAAACGCACATCGTGACAAACACAGATGCATTTGTGCACTTTTGTTAGACAAACTTCAGCCAAATGTGGCAGTAGGTCTGTTCTGTAGATCCGCTCTATGCTGTAGACCTGCTTTGTGCCAACACTGGAACACAAATTTAGACTGGTTTTTGCTTCACGTTTGGTCTTGTTCTTCTAATCAGCCGCACTGTGGGAGGGGCTTGTGTTGGCTGTACGCAGGAAGGAGCGAGAGCGTGAAAAGGCGAGGGGCGGCGTGCTGACGTGAGGCAGATGGACAGGTAGGATGTTTAGGAAGTTGAACCTGCCCTGTGATGCACGCTGGTACACGAGGGCACACGCTGTTGCAGACGAGCCGTGCATAGGGAGCGTGTGTGTTTGTGATGTGACGTAGAGTCTCCGCGGGTTTCAAATGAGCGCACAGGCTGCACTGAGACGCCCCACACGCTCCTGCACCCGCTACAAGTTTATTACCAACAGCAGCGGCCGGAATGAAATATGATCACACTTGTTGAGTGTCAGACCTCGAGTGAGAGACAAGACCGAGTCCAAACGCGAGTCCGAGACGAGACACGGCGATCTACCCACACGACCTTGGCCATCGACTGGTAGATCGTGATTGACGTATTGAGCACCACTGATCTAGAGGGAGATTATATAGGCAAAGAAAGAAAGAAAGAAAGAAAGAGGGAGGGAGGGAGACAAAGAGAGAGAGATGGAGAGAGGAAGAGAGAGAGAAAGAGAGAGATGGAGAGTGAGAGAGATGGGAGGGAGAGAGCGATAGAGAGAGAGAGAGGGAAAGAGTGAGAAGGAGAGAGAGGGAGAGAGAGCGTGAGAGCCAGAGAGAGGAAAAAAGAGAGAAAGGGGGAGAGAGAAATGGAGGGAAGGAGAAAGGGAGAGAGAGGTAGGAAAAGAGAGAGATGGGAGAGAAATTGAGGGAAAGTGAGAGAGAGATAAAGGAAAAGAGAGAAATAGAGAGGGAGGGAGAGAAAGACAAGGAGAGAGACAGAGGGAGAAAGAGAAAAAGAGAAGGAGACAAAGAGAGAGAGAGAGAGCGAAAGTGACAGAGCAGGGAGAGAGAGGGAGACCGAAAGAGAGGGAGAGAGATGGAGAGAGAGAGAGAAACGGAGAGAGAGAGAGAGACAAAGAGAGAGATGAAGAGGAAGAGAGATGGAGCTCAAACCTCAGTCAGCTCTGTGCACTGTGAGGGAGCAGCGGATCTAATTCATTTGAAAACTACCACTTCATGACATCACAAGGTGGAACAGAGCATTTTAAGCTTTAGAAATGTAAACAGACGAATAAGAAAGAATTACTCAGACGTGTAAATGAAACAAAACACACCTGCAGATCTGTTTTTGAGAAGGTAACAACATTTTAAAACAGGTTTAATGTTCACAAGAGTACTGTCCATTTTGAACCTTTAACGACTTTTTAATAGCAATAATTAAAGTTCATAATGTTCATGTTTTAAAGTTTTAGTTTTGTCCGTATAAAGCGGAGAATGATTTGTTCTAGAAAGTCGCCTGGATTTAATTTCCTTGTGATTTTATGTGATTTTTTTTCTCATATTTGGCAGGTTTGTGTTGAAATCGGTGCCAAATGATTTTCCGTATGCTCTCCTCTCTCCTCTCCTCTCCTCCCTCCTCTCTCCGCTCCTTTCTCCTCTCCTTGCTCTCCTCTCCTCTCTCCCCTCTCTTGTCTCCACTCCTCTCTTCTATCTCTTCTCTCTCCTCTCTCTTCTCTCTCTCTCTCCTCTCTCTCCTCTCTCTCTCTCCTCTCTCTCCTCTCTCTCTCCTCTCTCTCCTCTTTCCTCTCTCTCTCCTCTCTTCTCTCTCTCCTCTTTCTCCTCTCTCCTCTCCTCTCCTCCCTCGTCTCCTCTCTCATCTCCTCTCTCCTATCTCATCTCTCTGTCATTTCCTCTCTCCTCTCCTCCCTCTCCCCTTTCCTCTCTCCTCTCCTCTGCTCTCTCCTCTCCTCTTTCTCCTCTCTCATCTCATCTCTCTGTCGTTTCCTCTCTCCTCTCCTCTCCTTTCCTCTCTCCTCTCCTCTCTTCTCCTCCCCTCTCTCTTCTTCTCTCTCCTATCTCATCTCTCTGTCGTCTCCTCTCTCCTCTCTCTCTCCTCTCCTCTCTCCAGAGCACGATATCGATACTGTATCATCACATTAAACAACACGATATAATTGATACTTCAATATTTTTGCACACTCCTAATTAGAACACAGATCAGAAAATAGAAGTTTGTGGATAAAAACGAGGCACTATTTTTTCTCATCAAATCCTTTATTTTGGCTTTTCCAACAGTGTCATTTTACAATCTGAATTACTTCAACTTTTAAAAATATTTTCTTGTTACAGAAGTGTGAAGTGAACACATCGCCTTCTCTTTTGATCGTGGGAGATTTTAGGATATTTTAGTCTATTTATAAAAAAAAAGATTCTTCTAAAATGTACAAAACTTTTTACAGCTGAAAATGAGAACACTTTGAATTCAAAATTAAAGGAGACGTATTCTGCAAAAACAACTTTTAAGAGCTTTTAACCACGTTTCTCTGACTGTCCCTCGTTTTTCATGCACGTTCGAGTAATCCAGTATTATGCGACATTTGAGGTTTGAGTGCTCGGAAAATTGCAGCTTTCACCTACCCCCTATCCCCGCCCACAGCTTTGTACATACTTGTGCCCATTTGAAAAAGTTACATGGACATTTTTCAAGTAGTTCTGATTTAAAACAATATTGCAGATTAAAATGAACAGAAAATTTAATTAAAAATCAATCAAAAAACACTAGAGGAAAAAAGCACAGTACGGCCACTATGTAACTTTTTTAAACTGTCTGCTCGTCTCCGTGGAGATATTATTACTTTGCTTAGAATGTTCCACCATAGGGCATTAAATTCTTCTCTTTTTTGACATGAAGGTGGCACTCTCACGGCCAAGTTACGGGTCACATCCATGTAGAGGCGACACCTTTCACAGTAAAACTTAAGAATACATTAGTCCGGCTTATTCTGTTCCGATATTGTTGTTGATACTTTGGCTTTAATAGATTCATCATGAATTTCAGACTTCCGGTCATCGTGCAATTCATACTGGGAAGGATTTTCTGAAAAAGTGAGCATCAAACCTCCATGTTTGTTTTCTCAGTGGGATGCATCTGTTGACAAAGTCGATCTTTTCTAGTCTTTTGAACCATATCACTTTTGTTTCTGGTTCTGATATTGTCATATTTTAGTTTTGGGATTCAGACATTGTAATTGTGTGGTTGTTGGATCCTAACAGCGGAAAACGGCTCAAGAAATTTGTTTGTGAACTCCATAAATGCAAAAGGGAATCAGATGTGTGTGACTGCAAACCTCTGTTCAAACTGTTTCTCTTCCCAACGGAATTGAAAAATAGTGAAAGGTGAAGGTGATGGGCAGGATTGATCCACAGGAAGGACCAAAAAGGAAACATTTCACTACCTAAATCATCCCGAGTTTGCAGCCAACATTTTGTATGTGGAGCCATCAAAGCAGATCCCGTTTGTTAAGTGAGAGGTGCAGAAGACAAACAGACTGAGCTGCACTTTCTTGTTCTTGTGGTTTTACAGCAACATCATGTCTTGGTCTCTTTGCAGTGGAAGGTGTTTCTTGGTGAACAGTTGGTGCCTTTCACTTCGGTGTTGACTTTTTAAATTCGTAACCAAGGTGGAGTGAGGGATCAGGATTTTGCTTTGATAGTGCTCCACATACAAAATGTTTGCTGCAAACTCAGGATGATTTCTTAGACAGTCAGAGGTTTCCTTTTTGGTTCTTCCTGTGGATCAATCCTGCCCATCACCTTCACCTTTCACTATTTTTCAATTCCGTTGGGAAGAGAAACAGTTTGAACAGAGGTTTGCAGTCACACACATCTGATTCCCTTTTGCATTTATGAAGTTCGCAAACAAATTTATCGAGCCATTTTCCGCTTTTAGGATCCAGAAACCACACAATTGATGTCCAAATCCCAAAACTAAAATATGACAATATCAGAACCAGAAACAAAAGTGATATGGTTCAAAAGACTAGAAAATACTGGCTTTGTCAATACACACATCCCCCTGGGAAAACAAACATGCTCACTTTTTCAGAAAATCCTTCCCAGTATGCACTGCGCAATGACCAGAAGTCCGAAATTCGTGACACATGTATTATCTGCCGATACCCGATATTAACCGATAACAGTGTAAGGATGGAAAATGGCACTTAAAACATCATAAACTAAGACATGTTATTTATCCTTCAGATCATCTTCATGTGAATAAAAGTTCAAACAATATCAGCCTGTAAATAATCTTATTACATCTAAATAAAATGTCCAACCAGAATATCGGTTTAATCACCATCATGGAACCGATACCAGATCCAGCTTACTTTTCAGAATTTGCATGTTAATATTCGATACCAGAATCTGCATCGGTGGGACATGTTTTTCATTTTTCATTCGTAATTTTGAGCCGTATTTAAATAAATGCAAGATAATTTTGTTTAATGCAATGCTGCGGAACATTCAAAGCAAAGCAACAACAGAAATAACCAGAAATGTTACACAGTGCACCTTTAATTTTTGGTTGGCAATAACACCACAACCCCCCTTTTTTTTTTTTTTTAAACCATAAAAGCTGCAGATGTTCTTAAAGACTGTGTCCTCCAATAATATATATTTTTTATATATAAATGTAAATAAATAAAGACATATTAAAAGAAAAAACAGCTCGTAAAACATCGTAAAATTTAAGTAGATTGTTAAAAAAAAAAAAATCAGATTCATTTTCCAATTCACCTTTTACATGCAAGTGTTTGGATGTAGGGGAAGCAAAGAGTATCAAACCAAATACTAAAACTGTATTGTGGTCTACTGCCAACCAAAATGTGAAAATTAAAGCAGAACTCAGTAACTTTTCCACCAACAGTTTTGTATTCAGAGCATTGTATGTTGAATACAGTATCCTGTGTCTCCCCCTAGTGGCTGCCTCTGGTAAAAACAGCTGATTTGGAGTAGTTTTAATCACACCATACATTTGATTTGTATTTGAGTAGTCATTGTTTTGAAGTACCTACACCCTTACTTGAGTAAAAGATGCAGGGTTTTTGGTTTTTTTTTTGCAGTTTTTGTACTTCTAGTTGCCCATGCCCCATATTACACAATATTGACTCTTGTGAGCTTTAAGTCATATTATAATGTTGTTACCTCCTCAAAAACACACCCGGAGTTGTGTTTTTCATTCACACATGTTTGAGCATGTCTTTGTGATGTCATGAAGTGGCCGTTTTCAAGTTAACAGCTCATTTTACCAACTTCTACCAGCAGACATTGACAATTCCAGAGCTGAAATCATCCGAATGATTCTAGTGAAGGTGTATAGAGTTTATAAACACAGTGGAGCACTTCCTGTATTACCGCATGACATCACAAGGTGTTTTCAGTTTGAGAGGTATTAAATCTGCAGGGTTTGTGAGTTAAACATGTGAATGAAACGAAACACAACTCCAGGTCTGTTTGTGATGAGGAAACATTTTAAGAGATCAGAAAATAGCATAATACAGGCCCTTTAATCTTCAGCTTGAGCAATTATTCGAGTACTTTTTCCATATACTTAAATAGTAATATTCTGAAGTAACATTACTGAAAGTCTCTTTGCAACTACAAGAGTCTCAAACTCACTTTTTGTAATGTCCAAAATTAACCAAACAAACTGGAGATGTATTAATTTCTTTTTGCCAAATATATGAAAAAAAAATAAAAAAAATTACTGTATTTTTCAGACTATAAGTAGCAGTTTTTTTCATGGTTTGGGTGTTTCCTGCGACTTATACATTAACATTTTTACACTGACCGCAAGAGGCTCTAGGCTTGTGTGTGAGTATCGAGTATTACTATTACTCCTGTACCACTGTCACTTCACTCTACTGCGCATGTCTCCTGTAGAAATAGCTGCTGTCTCGCTGCAAATAGTGAAATATTCAGCTGAAAACGGTACTCGAGCAGCAGAAAGAAAGTTTGGATTGAGCGAGAAACTTGTGATTGACTGGCGGAAAGCGGGGATGGAGAACACAGCTTCTTGGCAACCGGGAGGATGCACCATGAAACTTTCCTGAAGTCACTGGATGAATCGACAAAGCCTGAACTTCAGTGATAATCGAAACCATCCTGTCGAGATTCAGAAAGGCCAGAATAATTCTAACTGGAACTGATGCTGAGTCTGAGGACAGCTACACAGAAGAGGAAACAGTGCTCTGTTTACCTCATGGATCTATGGTTTATCTCTGGAGGTTGTGCAGAAGTGAGAATGAAGAATTCAATGGATTTAGTGATTTGGAGTGAGACTTACGTTTTATTGTTTATGCTATAATTATCTGAAAAACTGTTCATATGTGACGTTAACATATTAATGCCGATTCAGCCTGTTGTTCTCTGTTCTATTGTTATTACTAGAACTTGTCTTTCAAGGTGACATGTCAGTTCCTGGTCTCTGATTTTACAAAATACATTTCCCCAAAAAGTGCAACTTATAGTCCGGTGCAACTTATGTGTTTTTTTCTTCTTCATTGCGCATTTTTCAGCTGGTGCGACTTATACTCCAGAAAATACGGTATGTAGAACGTAGGGGGGCACTCTAACAAGTAATAAGCTGAATATAAATCAGACTGAAGTTACTGTATTCCACTTTTCTACTTTACTCCAGGGTGATGCTATTGCTTTGTCTGGAATGTTCCTTAGTATGGCATTAAACATTTCTATCTTCATGGAGACCAAACCAGACCAGGTTACAGGTCAGATCTGTGGAGAGGCGACCCACTCACAGTCAGAAAGTCTGTTTTTCTAGGTATTTTTGAGCTATAAAACCACCTGTAATTGAATAAATCTAAGGTAGGCTTAATGTCATACTGTGGAACATTCCAGACATAGCAATGATATCTCCGTAGAAACAAGGAGGTGAAGAACCCCCAACCAAAAAGTTACACAGTGCACCTTTATACAATCAGCAAAAACTTTTCCTAACAGTTAAATCATTTCACATCTTCTGTATTTGTTGAACCGTAATTTCGAATGTCCAACTTGGCTCTAGAGTCACTGCACACCTTCTCATGCACCAGGTCCGTCTGTGTTTTTTCGCTTAAATTAGCAAGAAGTGAGTCGGAGTTTGGGGTAGATCTGCTCGTTTCAATCTCCGAAGATATCCGATTACCTTGGGGAGATAAGGAATCGCAAAAAGTAGAGTTTGGAATAGGATTGTTACTTGTCAAACTGTTTTTTGGTTCTCGTAACGCCAACAAAGAATTGGCGATTTCGTGGTGGGTTTCCAAGTTATGCCTAGTCCGGATTTCGTTGGTGATTTCTGTCCTGTTTGCGTCAATGTTGGACTTTTCCTTAGAAGACAAAGTATTTGAAGGGAATTTTGGTCTGTTTTCTGTTAGCTGTTGAAATGGGGGCAGCGTGTTTGGATAAAATATCGATTGAAAAGTATCCGCAGTGTGATTTTTGATTTTATTCGGTAAAATGTTCCCACAGTCAAATGAGCTGTTCTTAAAATGATTGTCTTGGGGAAAACCAGGATTGGAAGTTGAAGGAAGATCTGATTTTGTTGTGATTCCATCCAAAACACTTAGAATGCTGTCCAAAAGTTTTTTATCAGCCTCGTCTGTATTCGATTTTTGTGGAATTTCACTGCGTTCTTGACATTGTGTCCGACTATTCGAAGATGTAGGTTTGTCTTCAACTATTTGTAACTTTTGTGGCTTCTTTTTCACCTCCTCCACTTCACAATTTGGCGTGTGACTAATTTCCACCTTCTCGACGTCGATATCCGTGTTGCTATCACTGCTATTCTCCAAAGAAATCAGATCGGTCGATTTATTTTGCCGGTTTTCAATATCTGATTTCTCCGATCCTCGGTCCAAAATATCCACGGGAAGTTCGCCGATGTCTCTGCTCTCCAAGACCCCGCTCATACCGGAAGAATGGACCAATGGGAGGGTGGGGAAGTGGCAGAAGTCGACGGTTTGTTGGGAGCCAAATGGGGAGCTGCACGCGCTGCTGCTGTGGTCCAATAGGGGGTCTCGGTCACTGTCGCTGTCCAGTGTGATCACCAGCGGGGGACTGGGAAAAGAGACGGAGACATTAGTTTTAGTTATTACTGTTGACAGGAAATATGAATTTTATTAAAATATATAACAAAAAGTCACATTAAGATTCAAACTGACTCTGTATTTTTGACTAATACTGGTATATCTGTAATCCCTCAGTTGTGCAGTAGAACGTGTGTACATACAGTATACTGTGTATTTCAGACTTGTGTGTCAGTACCTGCTACTCTGCTACTATTATTCCTGTACCGCTGTCATTTCGCTCTATTGCGCATGTCTCCTGCAGAAAGAGCCTCTGTCCTGTCTGGTTAGTCGATCGCACCATTACTTCTGCACCACTGAACAATGTAAAATTTAAACAAACTTATGAAAACAACTGAGAAAACTGAACACAAATGCCTCCAAAAAGAAAATCATATTTTGCAGATTACAAACTGCAAGTAGTGAAATCTGCAGCTGAAAATGGTAATCAAGCAGCAGAAAGAAAGTTTGGAGTGAGCGAGAAACCGGGAGGGTGCAGCATGCAACTTTCCTGAAGTCACTGGATGGACAAAGTCTGGACTTCAGTGACACTGAAACCATCCTGTCGGGATTCAGAAAGGCCAGAATAATTCTACCTGGAACTGATGCCGAGTCTGACGACAGCGACACAGAAGAGGAAGCGGCGCTCTGTTTACCTCCGGAGGTCACAGAGTTGTTCAGAAGTGACACCGAGGATGAAGAATTGAATGGATTTAGTGATTTGGAGTGAGATGGAGAGTTTGGTAAACTTGTTCTGTTGTTTATGTTATAGTTTATCTGAAGAACTGTTCATATGTGACGTTAACAGTCTGTTGTTCTCTCTTCTGTTGTTATTAATACAACTTGACTTTCAACATGAAATGTCAGTTCCTGGTCTCTGATTTTATAAAATAAATTTACCCCAAGAGTGTGACTTATAGTCCGTTGCAACTTATATATGTTTTTTTCTTCTTCATTATGCATTTTTTTGGCTGGTGCGACTTATAGTCCAGAAAATACAGTAGTAACCTTTTCTTAAAGGTACACTTTGGTTCACAGTAAAAAGGCATGGTTTTTAAGGTATTTTTAAGCAATAAAAATTTGTATATTAATAAATCCCCCACTCATAAAGCACTCCATGCAAGACATCTCCATGGAGACCAGCAACTCAACCGAAAAGTGACATAGTGCACCACTTTCATTGACCAGTACTGTGCAAAATACATATACTGCATAGACTAGAGGTAGACACAAGCTCTCTGTACATCTCTGAAACTGTTTTCATACAAGAAAACATTTTGAAATAAGAAAAATAAAATGTTCTGTTAAATAGTTCTTCACCTGGAGAGCAGACTGTTGCGGTGTCGGCGGCGTTTGCGTTTGGGGGCGGAGCTACAGATCGTTCCCTCGTAAACGATCTCCACACTGGGACTGCGCTCCTCACGACTGCGACTAAAACACAGAGACATCATAACATACAGGATTTAACATCACAAATAAGAATAAGTGGAAATGAAATAAAGACTTCATTTGCAAAAACAGATCAAGTCAGCAGAGTCTTTGTATAGAAGTGTTTTTAAAAGCCAAATGTGTTACTACAATCAAAATATTATAAATGATTTCATCCCTCAATGACATCATCCCCTAGACGTTATTTTCAATGAACAGGTGTAGATGATGATAACAAAACAACAACAAAAATTCAATTTGTCAAAACTGTGACGTATGTTTTTGCAATTGTACTTTGAAAATACTGAAGCCCTAATAAAATGAATTTGTAATTTAGTCAGTGTGTAGGTATCTAGTTCAAATGGATGTACAGCATGTAAAAGATGTGCAAGTCACCTTTTTTGGGTCAATTAAAAGATACAGTATGAAACTTTCTGCAGGTGGAAAGTCAACTGCATGATTCCATGGAAAGATAGATTGATTGATTTGAGTTTGTATGCCATATTATACCATACTAGGGGTGTGCAAAAATATCAAAATATCAATATATTGTGTCATTTAATGTGATGATACAGTATCGATATCGTGGGCTGCTGTATCGATATATCCCCTAGAGTATTTTTTGATATACCGTATTTTCCGCACTATAGAGCACAAGTAAAAGCCTTTAATTTCATCAAAAATTGACTGTGTGCCTTATAATCCAGAGAGCCTTATATAGGAATTTATTGGGGTGTCTTAGTATGACTTTAGTAAACTACAAAGCCGCTCCACTTGCAGCATTACGGCTCCCGAAAATAGACCATTCAATGACAGTGCGCCTTATAATCCAGAGCGCCCTATAGTATGCAAAATATGGTATTTGACTCAATTATATTGTTACAGCGCTACAGTTTTGTTGTTTGTTCAGAGGAAGAAAACTCATTTATGCGACAGATTTGACATTTTCATTGTTTTGATGAGTAAAATGGGTGTGTTTCGTATTCCCTTTGCACAAGAAGTGGTTTAACAAAGACTTTTAGTATCACAGCCTGATTTAGCCTTTATTTTTTATTAAACTGTATTGAATCGATTTGAAATATATTGTACTGAATTGTATCAAATGGAAAGTTCACTGTAAAGAGATATGTATGGTACTGTGGCCTATGTATCAAGGTATGTACCGTTTCGGCTAGGGATGGGCATGATTAGTCGACTAATCAATAATTGATCATTAAGAATTTTGTCAATTACGTTCATTTCTAATTGACAAATGGAATGTTCTGTGCGTAGATATGAAGCTGTGTCTGACAGCACAAACATTGGAGTAGTGGCCTCTCAGTCCCACGTTTGAGCTTTGACACCTCCTTAGAAATCACTGTACCACTCAATGAGTGTTTGCATTAGGGCTGGGCGATATGGGTCAAAAAATATATCTCGATATATTTTTGCTATATCTCGATATACGATATATATCTCGATATATGTTCAAGAAAAAATAACCCCCTAAAACTGAAAACTGCAAAAACAAATCTGCCAAATTCCACAAGGTCCTTTTTTTTTTATTGAAGTGTAAGAGGTCGGCAGTTCATATAGGAACATTTAAGATTACAAAAACCCTAATTACATAAATAATAATTTAACTGTAAAATAAAAGAAATAATACATATTTTCTTCTTTTCATTCATAAATAAAACAACTCAACACAAGTTCATCTTTGCATTAACTCTGTTATCCAGACCAGAACCAGAACCATGAGCTCATTTAGCAGAAGAAGCTCAGGATGTTCCTTATTTCAATAGATCCATGTTATTATCCAGCAGTAAGGAGCTCTGAGGTTTAATCCCACAATCCACTGCAGATCAAATCAAACGTTTCCAAACACTATTGTACAAGTGACACTGCAACAGATTATTAATTAAAATATTCTGCATAAATAAACTTTACATTGCTAAACTTTACAATATATAAAGCATAACGACTCTGGAGTCACATCAGCCCTGTTTGAGATAATAATGTGTTTAATGCAGTTTTGCGCACGTGTGTTTACATTTTACAGAAACGAAACTTAAGCGCATGGCTCATTTGCATAAACAGCACTTCTCACTGCAGCTCAGCTGGTTTAGCTTCTTTCGGGCTAAAGGACACGACTCGGTGGAACATGAGAATGTGCTGCTGATGTTCTTGTCTGTAAATGGTGGAAAAGGTTTGTGGTGCTTGAAGTTTTTCACTGGCACCAACTTTGGGCGTTCAGGGCAGTAGTGACGAGTGAAGGAGACACGAGCGAACAAAATCAGGGAGGCGGGGGAGCGCGGAGGCGACGAGAGAGAAGGTAAACAAGCGAAGCGGCGAAATCAGAATTGAATATAAGCATTATATCGATATATGTGATATGTCAGAATTCATATCAAGTTTAAAAACGATCTCGATATATTGAAAATATCGATATATAAACATAAAGAGCTGCACCAAACCTGCACTCGTATGATCTTTGAAAACATCGCAACACACAAACAGAACAGACTCACCTTCAGCATGAACATCCAGAAAGAACACTCATATTCCACTGAAACTGAACCGCATCAGCACACAAGAGCGTTTTTTTTTTTTTCCCCTCCGCAAATTAGTCATGAGGTTTGAAGTTTAAGTTTAGTTTCTGTGAGACTTAAACACATTATAATCTCGGCTGATGCGGCTCTAGAGTGGTTAAGGTTTATGTTGTAAAGTTGATTGAAGTTTGTTTATGCAGATTAGGAGTAGCAATAATAATGAGGATACTTATAAAAACATTAATAATTAATCGAAAATCAATTGTTAATTCTCCTGACGATCGATTAATACAATTTCAACGAATGCCCATTCCTAGCATCGGCAACTTCTTAATGTCCAGCCCTATGCCATACTGTGAAACATTAAACCTTTTCATGGAGACCAAACCAAACCATGTTACAGTTCAGATCTGTGTAGCGGCAACCCCACTCACAGTCAGAATGCCTGTTTTTCTAGGTATTTGTGAGCTATAAAACCACCTGTATTTGAATAAATGTAAGGTAGAGCTGTTTAATGTCATACTGTGGAACATTTGAAGAAGAGCAATGACATATCCACAGAATCAAGCAGGCGATGGACTCCCAACCAAAAAGTTACACAGTCCACCTTTAACCTTAAGATTAAAAAAACTCCAAAAACTCACCTCTCTTCCCTCTCTCTCTTCCGTCTTTCCCTCCTCCTCCGTCTCCTCCTCTTCTCCCTCTCCTCTTTCTTCATTCTCTCCATCTCTCTGGTTTTAGTTCTACTCTTACTGCTGTTCCCTTTTCCGCTGCTTGGCCTCCACGTTGGATCTCGGACGTGACTGTCAAGATGGCGGCTCTTGTATTTCCGTTTCCCTCCCGGTTTCTCCGCCACCGCTGCTGCTTCCTCTTCTTCCCTATTTCTCTGGACTTTTTCTCGAGGGGGCGGCGTCGCGGAGGGGGAAGAGCCAAAATAGGAAGAGGAAGAGGATTTGGGCGTTGACGGACAGGAGGAGTTAAGAGGAGAGACTATCGAGTATCCGTGGAAATCGGAATCGAAGCTGGAACCAGGAGACGGCGAGCGAGATGAGCGATGAGATGGCGTGGAGAGATTGGAGGAGTTTTGGTTCTGCGACGTGCCGCTGCTGCTTCGAAGTCGCTTATTTCGGCGTCGTTCCCGTTTTTTTCTCTTGGATTTGGGGCAAGCTTTTCCCAGCACGCGGAGGAGGGCGGTGAGACTGTGTCCGGGGTTGGGGCAGTCAGAGTGAGACCTTGATGGTTGTGCGTCTGCAACAATCTCTGCACAGACAAAAGTTGGAATTCTTCAGTCTTAAACGATTTTTAAACGTGCGACAAAAAGCACAAACCACAGACACGAGGAGAACCTTATGAGATTTTAAGTGTTCAAAATATCATAGCACTTCTCGTTTGGATGCAATTCAAATCTGCGTTGTTATTATTTGTGAAATATGGTGCAAAACATCAGATACAGTGGTCCCTTGTTTATCGTGGGGGTTACATTCTAAAAATAACCCACGATAGGTGAAATCTGTGAAGTAATCAACTTTATATTTTACAAGTATTATATCTGTTTTAAGTCTGTAAAACCCCTCAGCACAAACTTTATACACTTTTCTCAGACAGGACAGTTGCAACCCTTTTTACATCCTTCTTAAAACTTATTGCTGCTGTCGTTCTTTTGTTATTTTCCTCCTTCTTTATGTAACAAACCAAAGATTCATTTATTCCGTAATGGAACCCTACAGCGCAGAGTCTTGCACGGGTCCAGTTTTCTAGACCTGCACCCGCACAGTACAGCACCGCACCCGAAATAATATCAAACCGTTGCGCTGCCTACGTCACGGATTGAACCAAGACTAAACCAGGACTAACCTAGGACTGATTCCAGGACTGAAGAGGAGGACTAAACCAGGACTAATCCAGGATTAAACCAATACTGAATCAGAACTGAACCAGAACTGAACCAGAATTCACTGTCAGGACGGGCTCGGAGGAGAAAGGACCCGCGCAGAGCTCCACGGGCACATAAGCAAAATTGCACTAACAAAAATCTGCGAAACAGCGAGACTGCGAAAGGTGAACCATGATATAGCGAGGGACGACTATACATGATTTTTAATGCACGGAAGGCTGGGGATAAAGTATACAGGAAGTAGAGTCACTATCACTAATCTGCAGCTTCACCTTGATCCATGTGCTGTGTGGATGTAAACACGTTAGGAACTACTCTCACCTTTTTACTTTTAAAGAATGATTCAAACTGGATTAACAGCGCTGTTTTGTGGACTGGGGGTCACAAATTCTATGGATAATGTGGATGAGATGCTGCAGTTTAAATTTACAACTTTACGAGATAATGATTTTCACAATTTCATGAGTTTGTATCTTGCGACTCTGTGTCCGTCACTCCTCTGCCCCTGACGCCGTTTTATTGGCTGTTATTGTAGTGTTGCAAACACACACACACACACACGAGGAGTGCAGCGGCTTCAAATCGCACACAAAGACACAAAGTCGGGTCACGCCTCCCCGAACACGGGGAGAAGCAAATCGTGCCTTAAATCGAGCAAATTCTCCTGTAGCGTGTGGCGGACTTAAGTCAACCAAAATTGGCATTAGTCAGCTAGTCATATTATTTAGAATTTCTATGAGATCAGAGCAGAAAGGAGGAGAGTAAGCTGAAGATTTGGTATTTTTTGGTATTTTGCGGGTAAAAAACAGAGAGACACCAAGACACCAGAGACGAAGGTAGAAGTGCTATCGCCGAAACATGTCAGGTACATAAGCTACTTAGCGTTTCCCAATTTGTCTTATTAGAAGAAAACAGAAGTTTTCATGTTATAATGTTGTTACACCATAAAAACAAACCTGGGTTTGTGTTTTGTTTCATTCACATATGTTTGAGTAACCCTAGCACCTTGTGACGTCATGTAGTGGTAAAGTGAACAGCTCCTTTTTACCTTGAGTTCAGTAGAGATTGGCCATGTTTACATGATGTTTAGTTCAGAATTAATTGTTCTGAATTAAATAGTTTGGAATCAAAATATTCTTCTTTGAGTTTGCATGGAAATAATAATTCTGCATTTAATATAATATAATAATTTACATGGAAAACATGTTAAATGGCCTTTATTTAATTCCGTTTAACGTCTGGAGGTGGAGAAAGGTTCTGATTGGACAGGGACAAAAACGTATTTATGTCGAAGAAAACACACACTTCAGCTGCTACCGGCTTTTTTGTTACCTCGGTTTGTCGTTACGCCATGGACACAAACATGCTCCACACTTTTTTCACAGTTGTTCCGCTTATAATTAAGCAGCAGCTCGAGAATTCTCTCATCACACTTTACGTCTGTCCCACTCCCACATCCTGCTCGCAAATCCAAAGAGCAGTGGATGAGTCCAAAGCAGGACTGGTCGATCTGGATCGTCCGGATCTTGTCAGAAGAGCAACCCAACGAGCATGTACTGAACGACCACAATTATTTCTAAGAATAATAAACATTTACATGATACAGGAATAAATTAAATTGGCTTTAAAATCAGAATAAAGCACTAACTTACTTCAGAATTAAGTTTAATTCCAAATAATCATTTTCATTAGGAATTAAATGTTTACATGGTCTTTGTTAAGTGGAATTAAAAAATTTTTTATTTGGAATTAAAGCTTGGAAATTGTCAATTTCAGGGCTGAAATCAACCAAATGATTCCAGTGAAGGTGTATGGACTTTAAAGACACAGTGGAGCACTTCCTGTATTACCACATGACATCATAAGTAAGCAGGGTTTGTGTGTTAATGTGTAACTGTGCAAATAAAACACAACTCCAGGTCTGTTTATGATGAGGAAACAACATTACAAGCGATAAATCACAAAACAACATAACAATGGCCTTTTAAAATCCAGTCAGTTCTTACCTTCTCTGCACTGTGGTGAAGGAGAGAGCACTGGAAAAAACACCTCTGGCTGTTTTTCAGTTGGTTCTTTGCCCTCTTTTTCCTTCTCTTCTTTCTCTCCATCTTTTTCTTTACTCTCCTTCTTCTCCTCCTCCTCCTCCTCTCCTCCCTTCTTCTCCTCCTCAGAATCGGACGACAGTTGGACGAGCTCGGGCGTGCGTTCGGCGATGGGTTTCTTGTACCCCACGATCAGGCATTCTTCCTCGCCCTCTTCCTCTCTGTGCTGTCGCGGCGATGCAGGGGTCCGAGGGAGCGTCTCTCCTCGACCCTGATTGATCGCCTTGTGCAGGGCGAGGTTAAAGGAGGACAGGTAACAGGAAGAGTCTGCCGTGGAGTAGGAGGGGCCTGGAGTTTCATCGTCCCAGCCTGAGAGGAATGTAAACAGGTATAAAATTAGGATTCAACACACAAATAATTTTATTAACCAACGAAACAAAAAGAACAGAACGGACAAATAGGTAGGGCTGCACGATCCAGCTTTTTTGGTTCTAATCGCGATTTTGATACTTTGGCTTTAAGTAACTTTCGCTAACCAGACAGCGATAATTCAAAAATAAAAATTTAAAATCCATATGTGTACTGTAACTGTGATTTATAATTTTAAGTAACTATATAACAATAGAAAAATATTACAAGGTGTTTCGGGCCAACATCAAGTAAATCATCTTATTACATCAATATATATAGACTGAAATGGGGATGTCGACTGAACCGATATCCTGGAACCGATATCTGATCCATCAAAAATGTTCAATATCGGCACTGTTGGGAGATACCAGTATTGTATCAGTTCATCCCTACAAATAGGAGCACATTTTTAAATTGAATTTGAATTCAACACATCTGGGACTCTACATGTGGAAGAAGGTCCCAGAAGCAGTGCTATGTTTTCAAAATATATTTTAAACAGCTTGTACTTGATTTCATTATTATTTAATGAATGTATTTATTTTAATTTAAAAGGGACAGTTCGGAATTTTGGACTCAGGATCTCACTTCCTAGTGATCCAGAGTGTTGGAGACGTGTGGAGACACATTTTTAAATATTCCATCCAGTCCTTGTATTTGCAGAGGTCACTGGTGCTAGGCTAATGCATGTCAATGGCCATAGTTATTCTGGCACTAAAAACAGTCTTACCCACTCCACAAAACACCTGAAGCAAAACTATTATTACACCAGACTGTCCATGTGAATGTCTGTGTTGATAGAATAATTTTAGAAGTAAAACCAACCTTGCATTTGAAGGATTTATGTCTGAGCAGCAGCAGTGAGTTGTACTTCCTGACAGAAAGCTTGCCTGCGGCGGACTGATATATGAGAAAATAGTCCCTCAACATGTGACGATTCATGAGATGCAAGGTTAGTTTTATTTCAAACATTATTCTATCAACACAGACATTCACATGGACAGTCTGGTGTAATAATAGTTTTGCTTCAGGTGTTTTGTGGAGTGGGTAAGACTGTTTTTAGTGCCAGAATAACTATGGCCATTGACATGCATTAGCCTAGCACCAGTGACCTCTGCAAATACAAGGACTGGATGGAATATTTCAAAAAGTGTCTCCACACGTCTCCAACACTCAGGACCTCCTTTCCTAGCTAGCCAGTGTCCAAAATTCCAAACTGCCCCTTTAAGAATAATGCTCTTTACATCATGCACTGTTTGGTAAAAGCTGCCAAGAAAAAAAAAATTGAGACTATAAAATATAATCTATTGATTTACATACCATTTTGTCTGGTCATAAATAACTCGAATGCTGCTTGTTACTAAGAATCATGGGACACCAAAAACCTGACACAATCCTGAACAATTGAGTCTCTGTCATGGTGCGATTTAAAGAGCGACAAAAATGCACATAGCAGGCAGAGATTTGAAAACTATAAGGAAACAACTGCATGGAACAGGCCTTTTAATGTAATATTTTCTGTACAAATTACAATTGTCAAAATAGCAAATATTTGATACTAATCGATACCAAAACTAGTATCGCAACAAGAAATTCATTTGAGCAGGTATCGATAAAAAGTGTACGCCCATGGACCACTATGGAACCTACCTAGTCAGTGTGGAATCAGAATTAGTATCAAGTATCTGGTCTATTCCTTAGTATCGAAATAAAGTTTAAAGTGTTAGTATCATGACAACAGTACCTCATGCACATACCTGTCATACTGAGGCTGGCTTGACTCTCCTGCACTGGCTCAACACGCTCTGCTCCTCTCTCTCGGTCCTCTTCCTCCTCGGAGATGGCGATGACGGCGCTGCTGTCCGTCGAACTGTCCAGCGCGTCCACGTTAAAAGCTACATCCGGCGGTTCATAAACTGCCTGAATGTCGTAGTTCTCCATCGTGAGCGGCGAGCGGGCGAAACTAACCAACTCGTGTAGAAAGTGATCCGTGCGCGCCAACAAAAACGGGCGCAGTTCATCTTCCACGACGGGTAAGTCCTCAAGTCCGTGCCTAGCTATACGCGCCAATATAATCCTCTGGACGATTGTTATTAGCGAATCATGAGAGCCGTAGAGCACCACTAGCTCACGTCGTATCCAAGGACGGAGTCTGTTTAAATTTGATGGATTATGGCAAAAGCTTTCGACTGATATCTCCCTTTGTGGTTGGTCTCTGTTGCTGCCAGCGATTCCTCTGACTCGGATTCCGCATCGGTATAGCCCACGACGGAGCGCTATCGTCTCTCTGTCACGCAGCGGTCGAATGCGTCCTCCTTCTCTCTGCAAACGCCGTCTCGCCGCCAACCTGAAAAGCAGCTTCCGTGTTTCCCGATTGTTGGCGACGAAAGGAGGTAAATTCCCAGCGGATCCGAGCCCGGTTAGCCCTTCAAAAATAATTCCGCGTTCCGACAAATCTAAGGGTTGGGTTTCTTCAGGGTTCACGGCCGGCGAAATCGGGATAAACTCCGGACTGTCGGGAGGCGAATCCACAAGCCACTCCCACACCGGCACCATTCGTTGGTTTCTCCTGCTTCGATTCGAGCTGCTTCTCCGCAACGTCAGCCTCATCCGGTGGTCGCTCGCCATCGCCGCTACCATGGCAACCGTCGCCGCCACGCTGCCGTTCTCAGGCGAGCGGTTGATTGTGTATTTCTTGAAGTCGTTTTCGCCGCGGACAGAGTGGAGAATGGAGGTGAAGGGCTGTTTGCAGAGGGGGCATTCTGCTTTGTTGTGAGACCACTCTTGGATACACATGAAGCAAAAACGGTGCAAGCAGCGGTCCAGGTACGCTAGGTTATTAAAGCGATCGAGGCAAATGGGGCATTTCGAATCGGGGGAGGTGTCTTCGGCGGCAAGGACTTGGCGAGATGTGGCCAAAGAGGAGGATGACGGCAGAGGAGAGGTGGAGGGAATGTTGGAGCTTGTGGTAGTAGTTGTGGAGGTATTATTATTATTATTATTTGAAGCTTCAGTTGCATTCTGGGTATTTCTGTTGTTCCTGTTGGTTTTTCTTCGGCCTCGGCTGCGCGTGGACGGGTTTCGGTGGCGCTCCTGTCTCGGTCCTTCGTCTTCTTCACTCTGGGGCTCAGCGTTTCGTGATGACGTGTTAGGGCAACGCGCACGCAGTTTCATACGTGAGAGCGCCATCACCTGGAAGAACAAAAAAAATATTTAATTGTAACAGGACTCTTCACAATAACAATAATAATAGTTAGCGCCGCCAGTAATGATTATTTTAGTAGTTCAATTAGCTGACCAGTCAAACAATTACCTCTATTGTGAACTGAGATGTTTTAAATACATTTTTAACCAAATAAAGTCTGAAAAGTGGTGACTGAAGGCTCCTAAATAGTGAATATGTATTGTGTATTTTCATTATGGTGTATTATTGATAAAATTTGAAATGTATCTTTTTGTTGACATTTCAGTTTAATAATGTTTCTGTTATACAAGTTCTTGTATGTGTTTTAGATTCTGTACAGTCCAGAGCACAATTATCAAAATACAACTATAATATCTTTTTAAATAAATCTACTGTCAATTTTATTATGTATTTGATTTATTTTATTAATGTATTTGATTTGTTTATTTGTGTATTTGATTTATTTATGTATTTATTATATTATTATTTATTTATGTTTATTTTATATATATATTTTTTTATTATTATGGCATCCTTCAAAACTCTCAAGATCACCACGCAGCAATTTAATACAACATGCACTGAAACGAAAGCAAAACATAGACATATTAAAAAAAATAATAATTTAAAGATAAAACTAAATTTTCAAGTGTGATATATTGCTGAAGTAAACCGACGATAAACGATAACACTGAAACTAATTTACACTACTGATAGCAGATTTAAAGGTGCACTATGTAACTTTTTGGTTGGGGGTCCATCACCTGCTTGTTTCTATGGATATGTCATTGCTCTTGTCTGGAATGTTCCACAGTATGACATTAAACGGCACTACCTAATATTTATTCAATTACAGGCGTTTTTTTCATATCTTCAAATACTGAAAAAATAACTCAAAATATCCCAGCAGTGCAAAGAAACTGTACACACGATAAATATTGACCCCCAAAAAATATTGTCCCATCTTTCCTATATTGAACAATAAGTTTGTATAGTAATTATCGTGACAGACCTGGTGAACATGTGGGTATCTGTGTGTATAGAGAAGACCAGTCAGTATCTCTCACCAGTCCGGCCGAGTTGAAAAGATCTCGCCTCTGGAGTTGTACCAGTGAGAGGAACTGAGCTAGTGACAGTTTACAAATAACAGAGACCAAATAAGTGGAACGGCCCCCAAACCAAGCCCTGTGGTTTCAGTGTGTGGACTTCAAAAGCAAAGAACTGACCCCCTCACTCTTTAACAGCAGCTCATGTCAGGGCCCGTCACCATAATTGCTAGACTGACTGACAGTTCAATATGTGTGTAACATGTCTTCGTAAACGTGGGGAGATGTTGTGTATTTGTTATTTCTGCAATTAGATTTGAGCTGTAAAAGGCTGAATAAGTGACCTATGTGCCCAAATATTGACCAATAAAAGTATGTTCTGTAATGCACATGTTACAGATTTAAAAATGATTAACTGGGATTATCAGGTTTTATTGTTTTTGTGTCTGTCCTGTAACAGATTTTGAAGTGTGATAAATTGCTGAAGTACTGTATTTTCCGCTCTATAGGGCGCTCTGGATTATAAGGCGCACTGTTATTGAATGGTCTATGGTCACATTTTTTTCATATATAACCCGCACCGGACTATAAGGCACATTAAACGAAACAGAACAGTTAAATGGGTCAGTCGGACTTTGTTTGGCGCGTTTCACGGTGACTCTGAGCTTTGTTCAGTTGTGGCGTGTAGGGAGGGTGCTGTCTGGGACCGCTGGATTGTCGGCGTGTTTGCAGTGACTCAGTTGTTCAGACGTGTCTAGAAGTGGCACATTGCACTCGCTTTTGAGATTCATTCCTCCGTTCCGTTCCTCGTCCGCGTGGACTGATGAGTGTGTCTGTGGGTGTGTTTCGCTGTGCGGTAGCTGTCTGCTCCGTGTGTGTTTGCGTGCGCTGCGGGTGGTGTGGCTTTGTAGTTTACTGAAGTCATGCTGGGACACCCGAGTGGATTCGTGTATAGGGTGCTCTGGATTGCGGGGGGTGCAGTCGTATTTGATGGGATTGGAGGATGTAGAGCGCACCCTATACTGCAGAAAATACGGTAAAGATAGACGATAATTGATAATACTGAAACTAATTTATGTCACTAACATAAAAACCCAAGAATATATGACATTAAAGAGCTCTACCTTACATTTGTTCAATTACAGGTGGTTTTATAGCTGTTTATAACTGTGAGTGGGGTTGCCTCTCCACAGATCTGACCTGTAACTTGATCTGGTTTGGTCTCCATGATGATGAATGGTTTAATGCTATACTATGAAACATTCCAGACAAAGAAATAACATCTCCATGAAGAAATGCATTTGATGGAGACTCCACCAGAAAAGTTACACAATGCACGTTTAAATTGAGCATTTATTCGACCTGTTGCTTTTAATGTTACCTTTACATGTGCAGCATTTTGGAAACTGTTTTGTTTATATATAAATGTGCTATAAAAAATAAAGTGGATTAGAATTTTGTTATGTTATGTCAAAAGATCCAAACCTATACACAACTTGGTTTACAAAGAAAGAGTCCCAGGCCTGTCACGAAAACAACTTTTTAAGCACAATATATTTCTACAGAGATGCACTGATAAATTATAATATTGGAACTACTTTATGCCATTGACTAGGGTTGGGTATCGTTCAGAAGTTGCAGATACAATACATACCTCAATACATAGGCCACGATACAATACATATCTTGATACAAAGCACTTTCGATTTTGATTTTTCGAAAAATTAAGGCTAAATCATGGCTGTGATACTAAAAATCTTTGTTAACCACTTCTTGTGTAAGTAACTATGAAACACCCATTTTAATCATCAAAAAGTGAAAATGTCAAATGTGTTGCATAAATGAGTTTCCTTCCTCTTAACACGCAACAAAAATGTAGCACTGTAACAAAATAATTTAGTAAAACATAACTAAAAATGCTTAATACAGCAGCCCACAATATCAATACTGTATCATCACATTAAACAACATGATAATTCTATATTTTTGCACCATCCTACCACTGACACAATAATAATAATAAAGCAGGATAATCCTACTAAAGAAAAGTTTAAACAGTATCATTAAAAGGCCTGACCTATCTATCTCTCTCTATATCTTTTTTGTTGTTGTTTTTTTTACTCTTTGTTATTACATTATATTGTGATGTGTGAGCTACTGTGACCAAATCATTTCCCTTGTGGATCAATAAAGTTTGTCTAAGTCTAAGAGAGAAGAACTCAGCCTAAATACATGAAGGATTTCTGTGTTAAACATGTGTGAAAGAAACAAAACACAATTCCAGGTCTGTCTGTGACGAGGAAACAACGTTACAACATAGATTAGAAAATAACCTCATATGGGCCCTTTAACAGGAAACAAATGGACAGGCAAAGAGAAGAACCTGCAGTCACCTTTCATAACAATAAATACATGTATTGGGAAAAACAGAAAAGGAATTATAACCATTTTAATGATTTTAAGTCATCATGAATCAGCATTTCAGAGAGAGTCCTTCACACTACCCTCTCACTTCATCATTAAAAACAAGGGGGGAAAAAACAATACACGTTTATCAGTGACACAAACCTTTGACTTTGACGTGTAGCTTGCCCTTTAAAACGTGAACTGCTTTTCTCTTGTTGTAAGTAGATGTTTTCTTTCACGCTTTATCAGATCATCACGTTTTATCCGTTTGCATTTGGAGAGAACGTCTGTTTTCAGCGTGTGGTTATTATACTAAAAGCAATTATGCTAAGAAGCTAATCGCTGCTAGCATTTTTGTTCAGGCTGGCATCGTCTTTTGTTTCGAAGCGTTTATGACTCATGTGAATTTACAGCCTAGTACGTCGCTAAGCTCACGTTATGCATTAAATATTACGTTAAATAATAATCGGATGCTTTAAAATTCAATTATTCTTGAGTGTTTTAGCATGTTAGCTCGCCTACCTGATCCGACGCAGCCGACTCCCTCCGTGTCTTCCAAAAGCTCTCATCCGGGTTTGGTGCTCCGTTTGCGGGCTGTTTCGCTCGATTTGTAGCCGATGGGCGAGCTGACAACCGGGCCTCGCTATTTTTATCAGTATGCAACGATAATCCGTGTAATAAATGTTTGATTTATCCACAAATGCACCGAGTTGGATCGGCTACTGTCGCTGCACATTTCCGTTGGAATGTAAACGCAAAGGACGCTGGGAGCAAAGAGCGTTAGTACAAGTGATGATGTTTCACTTTGAGACGAAACCTCTCGATTTACATTTCCGTTCATCATTACTTATAATAACTGTTTTGGTGTTACATTTATTACAGTGAAAAAAACTAAAACAAATTTAACTGTAAAATTGATAAAACATATCATTATTTTTCGTTTTAACGTGATTGCAGGGTGAAACCTCTTTCGCACATTAACATATCGCTCAGCTCGCAAATTCATAATAGCCCCGAGAAAAACTAAACATATAGAAATCAGCCCAAATAAAGTGCATTTTCAGACTTTTGCTCAATCAAAACGGGAGAATGCAAAGTGTAGGGCAGCGGGACCTGGACAAGATCTACTCAGTGGTAAATGAAACCTTCTTTTTTACGTAAAGCTGCATATTAGTGTCGTATTAGCGCTTAGCTGTGTAATAAAAGTGCCATAAGAGTTCTGATACTACGTAAAAGACTTGTAGATTGGGCAAATAGTTTAAAAATTTGGATAAATCTGGATAGAGCTTTCCAAATTGTGCATTAGCTGTGCTTTATGTAGGTTTTCTGGTGGAGAGTCATCATCAGTCGTCAGTCTCTATGGTAGTGTGACCAGATGTCCCTATTTACCCGGGACAATCCCAGTTTTGAGCTCTGTGTCCCCTGTCCCTGCAGATTTATACAAATAACCAATAATTTGTCCCCGTTTTATACAGGACATGTCCCAGGTGTTCCTATTTTTGACCTATCTGATACCTGCCAACAGTAAAGAGAGGCATAAATTATCATTTGTTTGAGTAAAATACAGAAAAGCTGCTTAAAAATGACAAAAACACGAAGACCATGTGACTATACTTACTCAGATTAGTGCAGAGTGTAGAACAATTTTCTTTAATTATGCACTTATTTCACAATATTATTATTATTGGCCACCACAAACCAGGGATGTCCCGTTCTGGTCATCGTACTCTCTGAAGAGGTTATTGCATTGCCTGGAATGTTCCACGGTGTATCACTGAAGAAATCTAACCTGTATTTACTGTATTGCTACTTTGCAGCTGATGCCATCAACATTCCCTGGGGGTGCAAAGCTAATTGCAGACATTGCTCTGTGTGCAGCTCTGTTCCTCAAATCTAGGGTGACCAGATTCTAAAAAACAAAAACTAGGACACCCCCAGTAGTTTGTCGTGATTGGTAATAATAAAATTGTGAAATGAGTGTGTAATGAAGGAAAACTGTTCTGCATCCATTGTTTTAAGCAGCTTTTCTGTATTTTCACTAAAGAAATGTGTGTATGTAATGTATGCCTCTCTTTATTATTGGCAGGTACCAGATTGGTTAAAACAGGGACACCTGGGACACCTTTCTTGTATAAAACTGGGACAAATCAATGGTGTGTGGGTAAATCTGCAAGGACAGGAGACACAGGGTTCAAAACTGGGGCTGTCATTTTGGTTGGAACTACAACAGCTGAACTGATTTGTGCTGTTAAAGAAGTCCCATCTCAAATAACATAGCAGTCACAAGCTATCTAGTATTAACCAAGAGTTTTTTGTGTTTGGAACTTTTACATGAGAAAATGTCTTTACATGGTTTGTAACGTAACGTCCAGGTAGGTTCCATATGGTGGTCCATGGGTGTGTACTAGTCTTTGTGCTCTTATACATTTATGGCATAAGTCCACATAGACTGCATATGAAAGAGTTTTGTTCATATTTTGTTTTCAGATCTTGTTGGGGATCGTGATCTTGTCCTGGGCCTATGTCATCTATGCCAGTCGAATTGCAGCTCAGTGGCTCCTGGAGGAAAGAGCTGCAAAGACCTGAAGCCAAAACTAACTACAGGTGAGCTGCAAATCACACAATACTAATCTATCAATATCACATATCATCAATATCAGTGTTGTCAGCGATTCCTGAGATTAAGGATTTAAAGCCAGAACAAAGAGAATGTTTGGTAAATTTCATCAAGGGGAAAGATGTTATTGTTCTTCTTCCAACGGGATTTGGAAAAGCTTAATATACCAGTTATCCCCGTTAGCAGCGCATTACATACACATCACGACCAAATAGCAGCGATTGGTTAAATGATAAAAAGTACCCGCCTACCTTCGAGCGAACGAAATCTAAGGCTGCGAGGTCAGATGGTTTGTACGAAGTGAAACAAAGTAAAACCGGCTGATGAATCAGGCTAGCATTTTGCAACTTTTCTGTTGAATGTTCCATGGTATGACATTAAACACATTTATCTAGCATTTATTCATTACGGGTGTTTCTGTTGCTCCAAAATACAGTAATTCTTTCTGTGAACAGGGTTGCCACAGATCTGACTATAGGTGTCTCCCTTACTGTGGAACATTCTAGTCTAACATCCTCTACTAGAAAAATTATGCAACACACATTTAAGAAAGAAACGAGAAAGAGAAAGAGTTTACTGTTGGAATTAATAGAAGGTGGAATTGAAAGACAGTTCAAAAAGAATTTGAAGTTGTGAATTGTGCATAAGTTTATACTTCTACCCACTCCTTTTCGAACAGTTATATAATTCCTTGTACATAAACGTTATGGATCCTCATTACTATTTGGTTTTCTTATGATGTTTGTTCTGTTTGATACAGTTTTTTTGTATGCATGTTCGAAATAAACAACAACAATTAAATTAACAGTTAAACAATAACTCAGCTGTGTTCAATTTGGCATATATGACATCAACTTGAAACAATGGAGACTCGCTGTAACCTTGTAATGCACCAGTAGAGGGCGCCAAACAGTCAATATTGGGTCACTGGCATACAGTATACGTGCCCAGTCCTGTTTATATGTTGACAATTAATTCACAACAGAATTAGAAGAGTATCTATGGTACACTTTTACTTTTCTGGTAGTAAATTAGACCAAACGCATCCATTTTGCAAAGTAATAATAATAATCACATGAATATATTTGGTGTAGTAGAAGCAGAGGTTGTAATGGTAGGGCTGTATTATAGGACTGTCAAAAGTATTCAAATAAGGCCATGTGGGAATAGAAAAGAAAGTACTATGATTTAATGTTGAAAATCACATTCTATTGTCTAAAGAAAGAGGGTTTTTATCATTACCGTCATGTTAACAGAGGTCTACATAAGGTTTACTTTGACACCAGTTTAATATTAAAGAGTTTATATATGTTAGGTGTTAGAGGTAATTACCTGATCCCTGAAGGGTTGACCAGGTTTTGTATTCACTCTGTGTGTCTGTGTGTCATTCCGCCATTTATGGACCAACTGTCACCAAATTTGGTACGTGGGTCAAGCCCCCGTCCACGATGCCGCAATAAAAGCTTGGTGACGATCCGAGGTCATTTGAGGTCACACGGGTCAATTGAAAGGTCACACCATTATAAAGGATAAAGGCAATTTGGGCAATTTCTGAACCATCTGCGGCCTAAAATATTCACCCAGTCATCACACAAGTTGGCACACACATAATCGGGGCACACTGGATGTTACAGGTTGAAACCGGTCAAGGTCACTTGAAGGTCAAGGTAACCAAGGTCAAATATGTGTTTTTGGTCATAACTCCGCAGATTGAGCTCGAGCAAAGGGAGTGGTCTCAAAATCTCAGAAAAATTATTATCTATTTATAATTCTATGCATATTAATAGTTTTTCGAGATAATCACTAATTGTAACAGTTCTTTTCTCTTTCAGTGTAGCCGTTAAAATTCTAATTGGAACCAAAATAATTTGCATTTCTTCTCTTTTCTGGTCAACACACTGATCTACAGTCACACAACTAACATGTACACAACTCATGAAAATGACATTTTTTTACACACTAGTAAACACAGACATTCTCATGTGTGACCAATATCACACAAATGTTCATGGGCCTGTACACATACACACATTACATTGTGGATATAATGATCATGTGATATGGGCTGAGCTCCTCAGAAACTGCTTCTGTCCTGATGAACTGACCCACCGACGCCTCATGGGGACCAGGTTACTGTCTCTGATTGCACTTGTTTCATTTGTTTATGCTTTTTTCTTTCAGGGACAAGGACTAATAGTTAAGAATATTTTCAAATGGACCAAATGGAGAAGGTGACTCTCAACAAATTGACTCAAAGGCTCAAGACTGAAAGAAATGTAATATATTTATTTATTTATTTTAATTGCAATCTTTTGTTGTTCTGTATTTCATAACATGCTCAAGTTAATTTGGTTATTTTAATATGTATTTAAATGTATATTTGTGTAAATAAAATGCAAAAGAAGATGTGGTTTATTTGTGGGTTTTTATTTTGTATTATTATTATGGACAAATACAGCACAAGGACAAACTGTGACAAACCAAAACAATACAATATTATTAATAGCTCATGTCTTTTTAGCTTTTAGTCTGTAACAGAAATACATAGAAGATATTTTTTTCCTAAATTAAATAAGATTACACAAAAATGAACATGTCATTCCTATAAAAAGTGCTGAAACGTTTATACATTTATAGAATCTCTCGTGTCTTTAAAAGCCAGATTTTTTTTTTTTTTTTTTAATGTTATTATTATTATTTTTATTGCAGATGTTATACTCTATATTCTAATTTTGCATCGCGTCAAGACAAACATTGCATTTTCCAGCATATCCCCCTTTTCTTATTGATACTTTGTAGAGAGACATACACTAGGGGTAGACTCGATGTATGTCTATAGCGGAATGTTCAGCTGTTACCATGGTGACACAGTGCACACAATACACACGCACAAATATGTGTAGTTCCAACTAAATGGGTTCTTTATGGTCAGATTATGTGAATTTAATTAAAACAAAGATCAGATTAGTCTAACAGAGCTTTCACGCTAAGATTGATGTGTTTTACTGCATACGGAAACCCTTTCTGGACTATAGATCCACCACGAATTCAAACTTCTGGTCACTGCGCAATGCATACTGGGATTTTCTGAAAAAGTGAGCATCAAACCGCCATGTTTGTTTTCCCAGTGGGATGCTTCTATTAACAAAGCCAATCTTTTTTAGTCTTTTGAACCATATCACTTTTGTTTCTGATTCTGATATTGTCATATTTTAGTTTTGGGATTCGGACATTGTAATTGTGTGGTTGTTGGATGTCTTAACACTGGAAAACGGGCTTCAGAAGTTTGAAAACTCCATAACTGCAAAAGGGAATCAGATGTGTGTGACTGCAAACCTCTGTTCAAACTGTTTCCCTTCCTAACGGAATTGAAAAATAGTGAAAGGTGAAGGTGATGGGCAGGATTGATCCACAGGAAGGATGAAAAAGGAAACTTTGACAACCTAAATCATCCTGAGTTTGCAGTGAACATTTTGTATGTGGAGCGACATCAAAGCAGATCCCGTTTGTTAAGTGAGAGGAGCAGAAGACAAACAGACTGAGCTGCACTTTCTTGTTCTTGTGGTTTTACAGCAACATCACGTCTTGGTCTCTTTGCAGTGGAAGGTGTTTCTTGGTGAACAGTTGGTGCCTTTCGCTTTGGCATTGACTTTTTAAATTTGTAACCAAGGTTGAGCGAGGTATCGGGGTTTTTCTTGTTGTCGCTCCACACACAAAATGTTCTCTGCAAACTCAGGATGATTTAGGCAGACAAAGGTTTCCTTTTTTGTCCTTCCTGTGGATCAATCCTGCCCATCGCCTTCACCTTTCACTATTTTTCAATTCTGTTGAGAAGGGAAACAGTTTGAACAGAGGTTTGTATTCACACAGATCTGATTCCCTTTTGCAGTTATGGAGTTCACAAACACATTTCTCGAGCCGTTTTCCGCTGTTAGGATCCAACAACCACACAATTACAATGTCTGAATCCCAAAACTAAAATATGACAATATCAGAACCAGAAACAAAAGTGATATGGTTCAAAAGACTAGAAAAGATCGACTTTGTCAATAGACACATCCCACTGGGAAAACAAACATGGAGGTTTGATGCTCACTTTTTCAGAAAATTGCGCAATGACCGGAAGTCCGAAATTCGTGATGCATATATTCTGAGGGCAACGTGCTCTCCGTATTGTCCTTTTGTCCATCCTCAAAAGGTATTTTATACTGACTTATTTTTATTATCATTTATTTATAATTTATGGTACTGTGTCAATATTGGTGACTGTGTGTAAATATTTTAATGCTAGTCTTGTACGAAATTACTACATTATCTTGTTTGTAGGTTTTAAGAGAAAATTAATAAATGCATATGAGGGACAAAAGAGCTTCAGACAGAGCAGTGCCTCAGTTAGCATCACACCCCATCAGCTGCAAGTTATCAGTTACAATTAAATATATAAAAATAGCTTCGCCTGCTATATAAATTGTGTAACTAGCGCAATTTCACAACTCAAACCCCTCTGTATATAAGCGTATTGTTTCCCTAATGAATGCGTTTTTCCCTTTTACGTCGTGGACAAAAGCACTCGGTTATAATATATTCTGTAACCGGACCAGTGCATCTGAAGCCTCTAAAATGTAAATTTGCTGTTTTCAAAGGAGAGGGGGAAAATGGTGTGTGAGGTCGCTACCCATTTCATTAACAAACACTTCAAATGCTGCTGCCTCAAATGTGATTAAAAATCTACTTTACAATTCAGCGCTTTGTTTACGGACGTGAGCCTGGGTTTACACCGAGACACCGAGCTGCTCGTGGTTTAGGTTCATGCATCCACACATGAGCTGACATGGACTCCACATAAAAACACCCTAAAAAGTCTGGGAATAGAACCAGAGACCTTATTGCTCAATACGTACTTATTTTAGCATCATTTATTATATTTTCATTGATGTGTGCTGTTGACTGAAACAAAACTTGACCTCTATACATGTAAGCTACTGTGTCCAAGTCATTTCCCTTGTGGATCAATCAAGTTCGTCTATGTCTAAGTACTTTTAAAACTGCACTTTGTAACTTGGGGATGGTTCATCTTATCTCTTCTCCATGGAGATGTTTAACTGGAATATTCTATATTATTAGCCAGGCTGGTGCCATCTAGTTCCTCTGCTCATTTTAATTTCTCTCCAGCGACTAGGTCAAGAATCAAAATACACTAGATGGTTTGCAAGAATCCCAGAATTTGTAGATTGGCCAATCAGTGAAGAGCTGTGAAGTCTTGACGTCAAACTCGTCGCGTCTGTCTGGGTCCCTTTTGAGGAACAGCACAACAGTAAACAAAGTGTTGAGATGGATGTAGACGAAGACAGACATTCTGTGTTGGCAACAAGATCAAGGATTTAAAGCCGGAACAAAAGGAAGTTTATCAAGGGGAAAGACGTTATTGTCCTTCTTCCTACGGGATTTGCCGCATTACATACGTCACGACCAAATAGCAGCGATTGATAACATAAAAAAGTAACTGCCTACTGTTGAACAAACAAATCCTAATGCTGCAAGGTCAGACGATTTCCACAAAGTGAAACAGGCTGATACATCAGGCTATCATATGATTGCATTAAAGAAGACATATTGTGCTTGTGTCTGCTCTAAAGTTATAATCCATGACACATGTGGAGCATTCTGTTATAATTTAGACATTTCAAATTGCAATAATCATCTCACATTGACTCATCTCAAGTGATTAAAGATGACTTAAACACACATGAATCACTTGAAATACAAATTTGAAAGTATCCATCTCTAAATCAGGAGTGTTAAACTCAAACTCACAGAGGCCAAAATTAAAAACTGGGACTAAGTCGTGGGCCAAACTAAATATAAATTGAAAAATTTAAACAACATCTGCATGTTTTCTTTTCTTTTGAGATATGTATTACATAATGTTAAACCTTTTCGTATTAAAATAAATGTTTAATAATAGTTTTGCTTAAACATTTAATCCAGAACAAGCAGAATATAAAATAACAACATTTAAAATAAATAATGAATCTACAGCTTATCTGTAACTGACGGGCAGCTCTAATATCTAATATATCATCTAATACATATTTATATGCCCATATATAATTATATATATTACAATCTGAATCATGACGGCAGGGCCCACAGCAACTTCCGGTGAATATAGTGAGGGGAAACAACTATAACGTTTAAAAATGCAGAAAAGTCAATTTTGCAGAATAGTTTTTATTTCACCACAGATGGCACCTCCTACTTATCTCAAGGTTTAAAGCCATACTGTGTAATATTATAAGTAAAGTAATAACATCCCCATGGAGATAAGGTGGTGAACTCTCCAGCAAAAAAGTTACTTTGTGCATGTTTAAGTTACATGCACATAAAATTTTATAGCAAAAAAAAAAACTATAAAGAATTCGACAAATAGGCTAATGTAATTGTGTTTTGTTAACTGAATACTCAATACCTTTTATTGTATTTTCATTTTGCCATAAGCTTGGTGTTTTGAGTAAAATTCTCCTTATATAACAATTAGCCCTGGACCTCTGATTTTCACTAAATCCATAGTGTTTAAATGACCCCAGACTGGACTCATGATGTAGACGAGCTGTGCAGTGAAGTGAACGACTTTAAGTGTGAATCTGCAGCTGAGTCCTGGATCTGGAGAGTCTGTGAATAATTAAAGGAGCAGAGACGAGGGACAGACTGAAGGACACTGAAGGATTAAAGGGGCATTGTGTAACTTTTCTGGTGGAGGGTCTGTCAAACGCTTTGTTTTTTTTACAGAGATGTCTGAAATGGTTCACAGTTATGGCATTAAACCAGGTCAGAATGTCTGTTTTTCAAGGTATTTTTGAGCTCTAAAACTACCTGTAATTACAAAAATCTAAGATAGAGCCGGTTAATGTCATACTGTGGAACATTCCAGGCAGAGCAATGACATATCCGTAGAAACAAGCAGGTGATGGACCCCAAATCAAGAAGTTACACAGTGCAACTTCAGAATATTTTACAGCATTTAAAGGTCAAATTTCTACAAAAATATACATACAATTTTAGAATTTTTCAACTCATGTTTCCACCTAAAGTTATAATATTATTTACAAGAGTGGTTGCAAAAAATAGCCTAGATTGTGTGTAGTAACAAATTAGATGTACTTCATTTGAGACAGTTAAAACTAAAACTACATTTACTATTTTTAATGTAATATTTTATGTTCAGTTATTTTGTTTAACTTTCAATATGACTTGAACAGAAAAAGTTCTGTAATATTTTATGATTAATCTCTAGAAGAATTGTCTCTCATAATATTTTTAATTTAGAAAAAATTTAAATGTATAATATAAACATTTGTTTTTTAATTGACCAAATTTCACATCGTTTTTTTCAATTAAATTTAAAAACACTGTCATCTTATATTATGAAAATACAAAATTTCACGGTAGTTTTAACAATAAATTTAAATCTGCTTGTGGTGGTGGTGGTAGTAGTAGCAGTAGTCATAGTAGTAGTAGCAGTAGTTGTAGCTGTAGTAGTAGTAGTAGTAGTAGTAGTAGTAGTAGCATCAGCAATAGTAGTAGCAGTAGTAGTTGTAGCTGTAGTAGTAGTAGTAGTAGTAGTAGTAGCAGTAGCAGCAGCAACAATAGTAGTAGTTGTTGTAGTGGTTGTAGTAGGAGTAGGAGTAGTAGTAGTAGGAGTAGTAGTAGTAGTAGTAGTAGCAGTAGTAGCATCAGCAATAGTAGTAGTAGTTGTAGTAGTAGTAGTAGTAGTAGTAGTAGTAGTAGTAGTAGTAGGAGTAGTAGCAGTAGCTGTAGTAGTAGTAGTAGAAGCAGCAGTTGCAATAGTAGCTGTACTAGTTGTAGCTGTAGTAGAAGTAGCAGTAGTAGTTGTAGTAGTAGTAGCTGTAGTAGTAGTAGTAGCAGCAGTAGTAGTCGTAGTAGTAGCTGTAGTAGTAGTAGTAGCTGTAGTAGTAGTAGTAGCAGCAGTAGTAGTCGTAGCAGCAGTAGTAGTAGTAGTAGTAGCTGTAGTAGTAGTAGTAGCTGTAGTAGTAGTAGTAGCAGCAGTAGTAGTCGTAGTAGTAGCTATAGTAGTAGTAGTAGCTGTAGTAGTAGTAGTAGCAGCAGTAGTAGTCGTAGTAGTAGCTGTAGTAGTAGTAGTAGCTGTAGTAGTAGTAGTAGCAGCAGTAGTAGTAGTAGCTGTAGTAGTAGTAGTAGCTGTAGTAGTAGTAGTAGCTGTAGTAGTAGTAGTAGCAGCAGTAGTAGTAGTAGCTGTAGTAGTAGTAGTAGCTGTAGTAGTAGTAGTAGTAGTAGTAGTAGTAGTAGTAGCTGTAGTAGTAGTAGTAGCAGCAGTAGTAGTAGTAGCTGTAGTAGTAGTAGTAGCTGTAGTAGTAGTAGTAGTAGCTGTAGTAGTAGTAGTAGCTGTAGTAGTAGTAGTCATAGTTTTATTCCATGGTGAGAAGGTCATGGTTGAGCGTTCCCGGTAACGAACGGTACATCTCTGTCTCAGCATCCGTATCCGTGGTAACCACTCCAGAATCCATGGTGACCAGCTTGGATGTTTTGGATTCGGTGTTTACTTCCTTTTTGACCAAATTTGCCTTCTTCCCCTCGAGCCAGTACGTCACCATGTCTCCTTTACCCTGAGGACGGAGAAGATCACCCAATAAGATTTGTTTATTTAAGTGATGATGATAAAACGAAGGAGCTCATTGGTCACGCATTATTTAGAGGCAGTTTACAAATTCTCTCACCTCAGATTGACAGTTTAGATTGACAGATTGAGTTTAATGCTTCGCTCATTGATTTTCATTGATGTTTTTCAGTCCAGTGTGATTTTTTTTTTCTTTCTTTATTCCTCGTGAGCAGCCATATTTGTTTTGATATGGACGGACCATGTGTCTCCCTGATCGGCTAATACATCTGTCAATCACCCCTATCTGAACTTGGGGAGATTTACCAGTGAACAGATTTTCCAATCAATAACATAGTATTTTGTCATGAAAAATCCAAAAGGTAAATGAACATCGAAATGTTGAACCTGATGATTTCTATTAGTGACTAGACCCAAGAACTGACTGCATTACACAAATCTGCACTCTGTTTCTTTTACGGGTCAGTCCATATGAAATCAGCCACCCTCCCCTATGAGCCATCTCAGATTTGGCTGAAAAAAATTCTAAAAATGTCTAAAATCACCAAATGAAAGAATCTCAAATTTTAGCTCAATACCTTGAGTTGTTCCTGAGTTATGGCTCTTTGAAATTTTGGGGCCATGTTCACTTTTTCTGAAGCCTTAATTTATAAACATGTTTGAGAGACCATAACTTCATAAAAATAGAGCTAGGAAGCTGAAAATCTGCATTATTGTAGATTCTAAATATCTGATTGGAGTAAATATATCTTGGACCTCAAAAAATAAATTAATTAATTAATGAGCGGCAACCAAATGTGAGATTTTGGGGGCCCACAAGCGCCCCCCTTAATAAAGATACACAATATGACAACAGATTCAGAATCTATGATCAATAATCAATACTACAAATACTACAATACTACAAATTTTCAGCTTCCTAGCTCTATTTTCTACAAAGTTATGGTCTCTCAAACATGCTTACAAATTACGACTGAGACTGAGACTGAGCAAAAATTTTTTCATTTGGTGATTTTAGAAAATTTTAGAAGTTTTTTCAGCCAAATCTGAGATGGCTCACAGGGGAGAATCCTTGGAAATGGCTGATTTCATACAGACTGACCCTTAACTGTCCACATCTGGATTAAGTATTATTGGCCTATAGAATCATATGTTTTCATCTGAAACCCAAAAATAGACAAGCTGATACCAGACTCACTCCTGCCACTCCCACTGCCAGAACAGCTCCTTAGTGTAGCTTTGAATAAGAGTTCCAAACATAAACATGTACTATTTAGACTGATATAGTATAGAGCTTTGACAGTGGCTGGGACAGACCTTGACCTGTAGAGTCCCTCTGCACTCCAGCACGTATCCTCCAATCTCCTCCAACAGAAAGAACGCACTCGAGCTGCACTGGATCTTCAACGCTGCAAAAACACAGATGGGGTCAGACTAAAATCTTTATGTAAGGCTTATATTTTAAAGGGCCCACATGACGCTATTTACTGATCTATGTTCTAATGTTTCCTCATCACAAACAGGCCTGGAGTTGTGTTGTGTTTCACTCATACTTTAACACACAAACTCTGCATAAGAGTTTGTACGAACTTGGTGCACTTCAAAAAACAATATATAAAAATCAAATCTTACAGAAATACCCAGAAGACTAGATCCATTGTCCAAACCTTGACTATTAACTAAACACATGCTTTTCTTTAATGTTTTTACTTTTTATCTTGGTATGATCATAAACAGTACATTTCGTGCCCTCTTTATCATTAATATTAGTTTGTCCGACTAGAAACAATGAAAATCCTTACTTTAAAAAATTCTCATTACTGTTTATTTTGGTACAGTCATAAACGATACAATTTTGTGCCTTCTTTATTACTATTATTAGTTTGTACGACCATAAACGAAAACAAAAAATCCTTTAATTCCTTTCAATCCTTTCAATTTTTCATTCTCATTACTGTTTATTTTGTACGATAAACTTTGTGCCTACGTTAACATTATTATTAGTTAGTAAATGTATAAACATTTATATTGAGTATATGTACTGGATATCTATGATGCGTTTATGTATGTATGTATGTATGTATGGATATGTTTTTGTATATGTGTGTATATTTCTGCATAATGACAGATAAGCACTCCAAAGGTGATATATATATAAAAAGAAAAGTGTGAACCACATGATTATGTAAAACAGTTGGGGTAGGACTCTATAAGCTTTTTAAATATAATAATATGTTCATGTACATATCACTAGTTTTGTTACTGTTTTTTTACAGAATTTTATTGTATCTGGCTCAAACTAATAAATAAATGAATGAATATTTGGGTTGAGTTCACTTTTCAAACAGAAAACCCTGAGACTGCTCCATGTCATTTGACCAAATCAAACACGATAAACCTCAGAGTTTTAATCAGTGCTTCTACATGTGATCACAGGCATTATGTGTAACATGCATTAAACCACCTGAATAATAAAGGCTGAGTGAATCATCTGTTATTGAGTTGTTGAGGATGATCATTAGCTGAAATAAATACACAGGCTGAAACATTTCCGGATGATCGGCTAATTGTATTCCCAATCCCCTTCTGTACGAGACTTTGCCACATTTGTCCTGATTTGGATTCACTGATCTGATAATAGTGTGATCTGCAGCAATGCAGTTAAAATAGCAAAATATGTACTTCTTTTTTATTGTAGAATGAGTTTTATTTTATTAAACGGGATTTTACTGCTTAAAGTTGAGCCACACTGTGGGCAATTTCAAGCGCACAGTGACGACTAAGGATCCACCCGTGCATCGAGGGTAAAAGAGTCAAACGGAGGAGTGGAGCACGGAGGGCGAGAGGACTTTGGGGTAATTGGCTCTGATGACGTGGATCTGTCCGAAATGGTTCAGAAGCCGAGGATCCTGCCGACTGCAAAAACACCCTCTCTGTTCCACCTTATGAACTGTGATGTCATGTGGTAATACAGTAAGTGCTTCAGTATGTTTTTAAACTCCATACACTTTCACTAGAATCATTTGGATGATGTCAGTCCTGGAGTTGCCAATCTCTACTGAACTAACGATAAAAGGAGTTGTTAATTGGAAAACTACCGCTTCATGACATCACAGGGTGGAGTAGAGCATTTTGAGCTGTAGACAGACTTATAATAAAGGATTACTCAACATGTGTCATTGGAACAAAACCTAACTCCGGGTATGTTTTTGAAGAGGTAACAGCATTATGTGGCTATAAACGTGACTAAAAACTGTTGGGCAAGTTACTTTAAAACTGTAATGTGTTATTTATAACTTGTTACTATCATTTCAAAGTACTTACATGACAATATTACTGTATTTAAAATGTAAAACATTACATTACTATTACAGCACTTTTAAGTTACTCTCACCAAAATAACTGTGAAGATGCTGAACTTTTGCACCGTATATGGACTGAACCAGGACTAAACCAGGTCTAAACCAGAACTAAACCAGGTCTAAACCAAGACTAAACCAGGACCAAACCAGGACTAATCTTGGACCAGAACTTGGAATCTAGGACCGCCCCTGAGAGAACCCCTGAGCGTGATCGGGCGTCAGCTGCGTTTAGCTCCGTGGAGCGTGGAGTTCTGTGCTGGTCCTTTCACCCTCGATCACGGTCTACGTGGGTGCATCTCCAGCGTTTCACTGCTGCTGATATCGCGGTGATTTTTGCAAATTGAAATGCCAATGAAAACTAATAAACCCACCACTTCAATCCAGGTTAAAAAAGCATTATAACACGCATTACTCACATTTGTACCGAGTAAAATATTACCACTTTTTTCCCTGTAATGCCTTACATTACTGCGTTACAGCAAAAACCAATGGATTACAGTAATTAGTTACTTTTATAACACGTTACTCCCAACACTGCTAAAAACTCACAAGAGTCAATATAATATAGCACCTGTAAATGATCGACAATAATGAACATAAAGATTTAGACTTTTTTGAATATGGTGTTATGTGGAGAGTGGCTGTAGGATGCTGTTATAAATTACCACAGATTAAATGTACTTCTCACCCACACTGGTGGACTCCATCCGAGACGCTGTGTTCACTGTGTCTCCAAACAAACAGTACCGAGGCATTTTGGTCCCGACGATCCCGGCCACGACTGGACCTGAGGAGGAGAGGAGTCTACAGGTTTAACTTCAAACTTTTCACTTTTAGAAGAGCCTTGAGTGTAGTGGTGTCTGCAGTAATAGTAGTATTTGCAGTATTGATACCTGAGTGTATCCCAGCTCGGATTTGCAGTTGCATGTTGGTTTTATGTAGTAGTAATAGTAGTATTTGTAGTAGTATGTGCAGTATTGGTACCTGAGTGTATCCCAGCTCTGATCTGCACTTGCATGTTGGGTTTGTGTAATAGTTGTAGTAGTAGTATTTTCAGTATTTGTAGTAGTATTTGCAGTATTAGTACCTGAGTGTGTCCCAGCTTGGATCTGCAGTTGCATGTTGGGTTTGTGAAGTAGTAATTTGCAGTAGTATTTGCAGTAGTATTGTCAGTATTAGTACCTGAGTGTATCCCAGCTCTGATCTGCACTTGCATGTTGGGTTTGTGTAGTAGTAATAGTAGTATTTGCAGTAGTATTGTCAGTATTAGTACCTGAGTGTATCCCAGCTCTGATCTGCACTTGCATGTTGGGTTTGTGTACTAGTAATAGTAGTATTTGTAGTAGTATGTGCAGTATTGGTACCTGAGTGTATCCCAGCTCGGATCTGCAGTTGCATGTTGGGTTTGTGTAGTAGTAATAGTAGTATTTGTAGTAGTATTTGCAGTATTGGTACCTGAGTGTATCCCAGCTCGGATCTGCAGTTGCATGTTGGGTTTATGTAGTAGTAATAGTAGTATTTGTAGTAGTATTTGCAGTACTGGTACCTGAGTGTATCCCAGCTCGGATCTGCAGTTGCATGTTGGGTTTGTGGGGGATCTTGAAGCTCTTACACACTGACACCAGGTCCAGGGCCATGCTGGAGATCTCTGAGGCGTGAAGGATCCCGTTCTCTTTGGGCACTCCAGACACCACCATGTCTGAAAGAGGAACATAAAACACACATGACAAATCAAAAGTTGTAGATTCAAGGTTTTTTTGTTAGTACCCAAGAGTAAATGTGTTTTCTACATGGTCTGTCTAAATGAGCAGTTCTCTCACATGCGTCTCCGATGGTCTCCACTTTGTAGACGTCGTAGTTGTCGATGATGTCGTCGAAGGTGGTGTAGAGTTTGTTCAGCAGATCCACCACCTGATACGGAGTACTGCTGCTGGAGAGCTGAGTGAAGCCCACTATGTCACTGCAACACAGAGAGGGGGACTGGTACTTTTACTCTGGTACTTTCATGTGAGTAACCTTTTAAAAAATGGTACTTTTTAACCGTGTTTTTCTTTTACTCCTGTTTGAGTAATATTTGTACTGAAGTAAAAGTTGTGCTTCCTCTTCGTACTGTGACACTTGAGTGTATCCCAGCTCGGTTCTGCAGCTGCATGTTGGGTTTGTGTAGTAGTAGTAGTATTTGCAGTATTTACATTAGTATTTGCAGTATTGGTACTTAAGTGTATCCCAGCTCAGATCTGCAGTTGCATGTTGGGTTTGTGTAGTAGTAGTAGTATTTGCAGCAGTATTTGCAGTATTGGTACCTGAGTATATCCCAGTAATATTTGTACTGAAGTAAAAGTTGTGCTTCATCTTCGTGCTGTGACAAAAGCTTTATGTAACAATATGAAATGATTTGAGCTTCTTGCACCACTCCTTCAGATATAACTTAATTTGTCAAATTTTTGTGTTGATTGCTTGAAAATACCAGATATCCTTAAGTTTTTACCTTAACTTGAGTAATTTCTTGGACCACTACTTTATACTTCCACTTTGGAAATATTATTTTTAAGTAAAGTTACTCTCACTTGAGTAAAACTTTTGGCTGCTCTACCACCTCTGTACTGCAATACAAGAAATTGAAAAGATCAGAGTATTGCTTTATTTTCACATTAATTTCACCTCCTTAAAATATATAAAAGCAGATTTCTGACCTGAAGAAAACAGTGGCGCTGGCGTAACTCTGAGCCTGGGTGGTGATGCCTTGACGCAGATCATCGGCCACTTGTCTCGGGAGCATGCCTTCAGATAAACACAAAGAATACAGTTTATTGATACTTCACAGTGATTTCATCAATATTACCTGGGGTTGTGACACTAACTGTAGCCTCTGCTTTGTCTGCGACTTTGTTAGACTTTAACCTGAGTTTTGTTTTACCACTGTCTGCCTCAGCTGGACGAGTTAAAGTATCTCAGGGTCTTGTTCACGAGTGAGGGGAGGACAGAGTGTGAGATTGACAGGCGGATCGGTGCAGCATCTGCAGTGAGGCGGTCACTGTATTGGACCGTTGTGGTGAAGAGGGAGCTGGACTGAAAGACAAAGCTCTCGATTTGATGCTCAATCTATGTTCCCACCCTCACATATGGTCATGAGCTTTGGGTAATGACCAAAAGGACAAGACTGTGGATACAAGCAGCCTAAATGAGTTTCCTCCGCAGGGTGGCTGGTCGCTCCCTTAGAGATAGGATGAGGACCTCAGCCACACGGGAGGAGCTTGGAATAGAGAGGAGCAGCAGAGGTGGCTCGGGCATGTGTTCCGGAAGCCTCCAGGACACCTTTCTTGGGAGGTGTTCTGGGCACGTCCCACCAGGAGGAGGCCTCGGGGAAGACCCAGGACACACTGAAGGGACTATCTCTCTTCTGGTAAATACAGCATTTTCAAAAGGTATAAAATGTAACATGGTGATCTCTTTAAAATCACCCTTCAAATCAGGATCATTTGCCTGAAACTATACATTATTGTTTTCCATGTTTATGTTATTTGTTCAATTATTATAAAGTGTCTTCTCACTGTAGAGCAGGCGGTCAGTCTTCTGCTTCTCATGCATCAGATCCTGGGTTCTTTCTGCCACCAAAACCTCCAGGTGTTTACTGTACTTCTCCATCTACAACACAAAACCCACTTATAACAAATTAGAACAATGTAGGCTACCTGACTAGTAACATCTGTCTCCATGGAGATAAATAAATTTAGTGACATACTGCGGAACATTCTGAGCAAAACAAGAACATCTACATAGGGACAAGCAGCAAGAGAATTCTTCACCAGGAAGGCCTTTTTTCACCTGCTTGTCTCCACGGAGATATTATTGCTTTGTCTGTAATGTTCCACAACATAGCATTGCACAAATCTGATTTCTAATTTCTCATTCATTTTTCTCATTGACTTTCCAAAAAAAAAAAAAAAAAAAAGTTTGAAAGCTCAGGGCTACTCAGCGCTGTGGTAACTAATGACCACAAGACCTATAATACTATTTAAAATCTGTTTCTAATACTTTATTAGCCACCAAGTTATTAAAATATTTTGCCAAATCTTGCATTTTAAATGTGGTTTTTGAACTTAAAACTACCACGTTATGGATATTTGTAAGCAGGTTAACCCCGCAACGCCTTTGAAAAAAACAATAACCAAAAATTTTAAAAATTAAAATGATACACAGTGCACTTTTAGTAAATACATTCTTAAACAGAATCTCCTCACCAGGTTCATCATCATGTCGACAGGGCTGCCTTTGACTGGGTTTATCCGATGGACAAACTTCTTGATCTGTTCAAACGTGGGTCTCTGGGCGGGGTTATTCGAACGGCACCTGCGGATCAGCTACGGCAACAGCGCAGGGACAGAATACGCGATAAGCAAACATAAAAATATGTGTACTGAAATAAATGAGAAAGAATGCATTTTGCTGATTCTTGGTCACCTCCACATAGTCGGTGGGACAGGGGCAGGAGTTGTCTGTTTTGCTCCGGATCAGTTCAGGTAACGGGAGACACCACGAGGTCTCCAGGTTTGACTCCTCTGCCTGAAATTAGAGTTATACAGATGTGCAAAAGCTGACAAAAGAATGCAGTTTTAATTTTCTGTCTTAATGTGTTTATATATATAATTAATTCATATATTTATCTTATCTTAGATTTTTATTTTTACCAAGACTTACAGGCACTGGATCACTGCGAGTTGCAATCTCCAACAAAATGATGGAGTAACTGTAAAACACCACAGTTATGATCTGAAACACGATAACATAAATAAAAGTCCATCTCTGTTGTGAGTTTTTTTTGTTCGTACCAGAACACATCTCCAGGCTGAGTGGGCTCCAGGCTTGAGTTCTGAAACTCTGGGGGCAGATACACCTCCATCAGTCTCTGCTGGTAAAAGGTCACTGGCTCTGCTCCGTCATCACGTCGAAATGTGGTCAGGCCAAAATCTACACAAACAACAGGAAAAACTACAAATTAGATTTCTGTTTGCTATTTATCAATATATATACATTACTGGTCAAAGGTTTTAGAACACCATCATTTTTCCAGTTATTTATTGCAATTCAATTCGTGCAAGTCCAATGAAGCTTGAAATGGTAGAAAGGTAAAAACTGAACAGACAGGTTTAAAAAAAAAAAAAAAAAAAAGATAAAAGAACAAAACACAAGTCCAAGCTCTGTCAAAACTACCTCAGGAAAAAAGAACAAGATGGTAAAGCTTGAAAACATGGAGTGTCCATCAAAGTGTCCAGACTTAAACCCCATCGAGCTGGTTCGGGATGAACTGGACAGAAGAGTGAAGCAACCTACACATTTATGGAAACTTCTGCAACAGGCTTGGAAAGAACTTTCTGAACAATATTTGATTTCTATTGTAAAAAGAACAAGCCACGAGTGTGTTCAGCTGTTCTATCTGCCAAAGGTGAACACTTTCATCAATCAAAAACTAGTAAAAAATGGAAAAAGTGTGGTGTTCTAAAACTTTTGACCAGTAGTGTACTTTAATCAGTGGTCCCCAACCACAGACTGTATAAAAGAAGTGGACCAAGTGAGTGTGACGTCATTCATAGCATTCAGCGCCGCTCAAATGAGGCTTGCGATGCTCATGCTTACAGGAGCGAATCTAGTATTTTTTTGATGGACAAAATAGCAACAAAAAAAAAATTCAGGATCATGTGTCATGGGTTAATACAAACATTTTAAGACCAAAGTGACGAGGCTCACAGCAGCAGTTACAGAAAGAGGGGAGACAAGATCCTAATGTAAAGTCAATTAAAGTCAGAGTCAGAAGGAGCCGGAAAAGCCTCCTGGAGAACTTCCTATTTGGCAGGCAGCGGATAGCGAATTAGCTATGTTCACTCATATATACGGACTATGTCCCCAACCCAGGAACCACATGGCCATGAAGGGGGCACAAGAACTGTGTCTGGTGAGAGGGTCAACGTTTCGGCCAGTGGACTTTTTGTCTAATAAAGACCAAGGGTTGCTTGGTCCATATTTAAACAGCTGTGTAACTGGTGGTTTAGTTTAAAGGGCCCATCTCATGCAAAATAACTCTTTTCACATTGTATCTTTTACACATATACAAGCACAATTTGGGTTTTGGAACATGCGTTGAACAATAGTTCTGAAATCTTCCTGATTTCTTGGAGGCGTCACAAACCAGGAACTTTGCAAGTCCGACTATTGCTCCTCCCCCCGCCCGTCCTGAGAAAGCACAGGCTTCGCCCTCCAAACGTGACGTAGGCGAAGAGTGAGCCGCCCTTCCTCCACCCATCTCAGGGAGGGAGGGGGAGACAGAAGGCATAATTTTGTAAACTTGAATTCATTAATAATGTTAGATCATAATCTGTACAGGCGACCGCTAAACATCAGTGGCCGTAATGACTGAGGTGTAATCACCATTTTGTTCTCGTGCAGAAGCATTGAAGACAACTCACTAGAATAAAATGATGCCCTAAGTCTGTAGTTAGTATCAATGTAATATCATAGGACTACGTAACGTTTGTCAAACTAAAACAGGTAGAACAACGGAGATGACATGCAGACTGAAATTATATGTCAGATAATCTTCAAAAATAAATGCTGCAGTTTTCTTTTAGTTCTCTACAGTGGTTTACTAGCGGTAAACTTACAGATCTAGGATCACCATCACTGGACCCTGGTATCGTGGGAACAGCATCCTTTTTCGAAGTGTCGCTTTTGCTTTGTTGTAAGTCCAGTTTTAAAATACCCGTAGTTCTTGAAGCAGTCTTCAGTGAAGTGTCACTCGTAAACAAAAATATTCTTGGGGACCTTTTTGTCTGTGTTCCCAAAAATAACCTCCAGCCACTTAGCATGCCTTGCTTCTTCTGTCGGCTTGACAAATAATTTCGACTTACCATTGCAGCCAAATACACACTTTTTCCATGAGGACATGGTTACAAAAAGCGTGTGTGAAGCGAAAAATAAAGATAAACACAGAACAGCAGACCTGTACAGTGCAGACGCAGGACGGTGTGTGAGTGGGTGGAGGCGGGGCGGCCGCGGTGGACGGGGGCGGGCAAGGCAAGGCAAGGCAAGTTTATTTGTATAGCACAATTCGTACACAAAGTAATTCAAAGTGCTTTACAGAATAAGAAATACATTAAAATCATAATAAAAACAAATCAAAACATAAATAATCATGAAGATTAAAATTAAAAAAGAGAGACATAAATTGGAGAGAAGAGTGCGGAATGAAAACCTTTCAGTTATTTGCACAGTTAAACAGAAATGTTTTGAGTCTGGATTTAAACAGCGTCACAGAAGAGGCCTGTCTCACATGTTCAGGAAGACTGTTCCAGGTTTTAGCTGCATGAACCTGAAACGCTGACTCCCCTTGTTTAGTTCTGACTCTGGGCACCAGCAGGAGGCCGGTCCCTGAGCTCCTCAGAGTGCGAGATGGTTCATATGACACTAACATGTCACAGATGTACTTTGGTGCTCGGCCATGGAGAGACTTGTACACAAGCAGAGCTGCTTTAAAGTCTATTCTCTGAGGCACAGGAAGCCAGTGCAGAGACCTGAGCACAGGACTTATGTGCTCGTACTTCCTAGTTCGAGTAAGGACCCGAGCTGCAGCATTCTGGATGTTCTGCAGCTGTCTCACAGCTCGTTTGGAGAGACCAGTGAGCAGAACATTACAGTAGTCTAACCTACTGGAGACAAATGCATGGATAAGTTTCTCCAAGTCTGCTTTAGACAGTAAACCTTTGATTTTTGCTATGTTTTTTAGATGGTAAAAGGCTGCAGATGTTATTGATTTTATGTGACTGTTAAAGTTCAAGTCTGAGTCCATTATTACCCCTAGATTTCTTGCCTGATTTGAAGGTTTTAGAGCGAGAGACTGGAGGTGACTGCTGACACTGTCCCTTTGTTTCTGTGGACCAAACACTATGACTTCAGTCTTGTCAGAGTTTAGCTGGAGAAAGTTGTTTTGCATCCACACACTGATCTGTTGGATGCAGTGACCAAGTGACTCCACTGGTCCATAGTCTCCTGCTGCCAGAGAGACGTAGATCTGAGTGTCATCTGCATAATTGTGGTACGACACGTTATTGCTGCTTATTAACTGGCCTAATGGCAGCATGTAGAGATTGAACAACAGGGGGCCCAGGATTGACCCCTGAGGCACCCCACAGGTCAGGGCCATGTCATCTGAGACACAGTTTCCAATTTCAACAAAATACTTCCTGTCTTCTAGATAGGACTTGAACCAGTTTAGTACAGTACCAGAGATGCCCACCCAGTCCTCTAGTCTCTGTAAGAGGATCCCATGATCGACAGTGTCAAAAGCAGCACTCAGATCTAACAGGATCAAGACTGAGACTTTGCCTGCATCAGTGTTCAGGCGGATGTCATTTGTCACCTTGATAAGAGCAGTCTCAGTGCTGTGGTGGGCTCTAAAACCTGACTGGAAAACATCAAAGGAGTTGTTCATTTGGAGAAAGTTCGTAAGCTGTTGGTAAACAGCTTTTTCAAGGACTTTGCCAAAAAACGGCAGATTTGAGATGGGTCGGAAATTGTTCAGTACTGTGGCATCAAGACTGCTCTTCTTTAGGAGAGGCTTAATGACCGCAGTTTTCAACGCATTTGGGAATGTTCCAGATTGAAGTGACATGTTAACTATGTGAGTGAGTGGTGAAAGTAAACTGTTGAGGACAGACTTTAGAAATCTAGTGGGTAACATGTCCAGGCAGCAAGTAGATGAACTCAGACTGGTAACGATCTCTAAAACAGTTTTGTCAGTTACAGGTGCAAAGTGATTCAGCTCTAAGTGTCTCTGTGGCTGCATGCTTGTTATTTGTGTTGTGGAATTGATGGCATTTTTGATGCCCTGAACTTTGTCATTAAAGAAAACTGCAAACTCATTACATTTAGATGTGGAAATTAGTTCTAGTGGCAGTGGAGCTGGAGGGTTTGTTAATCTGTTCACTGTTGCAAACAGGACACGAGAGTTGTTACTGCAATTACCAATAATGTCCGAAAAATACTTCTCTCTTGTTTTACTCAAAGTGTAGTTGTACATATGCATTGTTCCTCTGTAAATCTCATAATGAACCTGGAGGTTTGACTTGCGCCATTTCCGCTCAGCCTTCCGGCACTCCCTTTTCTGTGCTCTGACTGAGTCATCATTCCTGGCGGGTGCGAAGTGTTTTCTGCTACGTCAAACGCATCATAAGTGTAGCTACCGCATCATCGTTGTAGTTGCTTTAATTTGATGTCACGTGGGAGGGTGGCAGAAATACGCTGCAATTTGTAAAAAAAAAAATTTATAAAATCTAAAAACCACTTCAGCGACATATACAAGGCCCACACATCACTCTTAGAAGGCAGAAAGCTCTGAAAAGTAGATTTTACATGAAATGGGCCTTTAATCCATATTTAAACTGTGGTGTACCTGGTGTACCACATGTGTATTTAAAGTGCTGTATAGCTGATGGTACTTGTGCTCACTTCCGTATTTAGTCCATATTTAGTCCACAGTTGTATCTGATTGCACCAGTTTAGTTCATATTTGGCCTGCGGTGTAACTCGTGGTACCTGAGATCACCTCCATCTTTAGTCCATATTTAAACTGCTGTATATCTGGAGTTACCTGTGATCTTGCAGACCCAGCGGTCGTCCAGGACACAGTTGAGAGACTTGAGGCGTCCGTGACAGATGCGGTGCTGATGCAGGTACGACATCCCTCTGGCAATGTCCATTGCAAAAGAAAACCTGACAAAGAATACACCATGATTATAATAAGGATTCACACTCCACATCGGTATGTTGCATCCACCACCACTGGGTGCAGATCAAATTGGCTGAGGATGTATTCAAGTTTCAAACGGTTGCAAACATAATATGCTTCCATTGAGTGTCATTATCTTAAGAGCCTGAAATGAGGTGCAAACACTTTTAACTGAGGTCAGTGCACTCTTATCCCCTGTAGACCCTCCCCAGGCGTATAACAGTTTGAGAAACACTGCCCCATAGTCTCCATAGAAACACGTCTTTAAAGCAGGGAGGCAGCAGGGGGCAGTAATACTGTGAGCTCTGACCTGAATCCCCAGTTGAGCGGGATCTCGTCGTTGATCAGCACATCATTCAGACTTCCTTTGGGGCAGTATTCAGTCACTATGGCAATGTTAGGCGTCTCCACACAGCCTCCGATAAACTTACACAGGTTTGGATGGTCCAACTCCCTGAAAGGACAGCAGTATCATCACACAAATGTAAAATAATAAAATAATACAATAGAGAAATACATTTGAACATGAGCACTGTTACCGGACTTGTTTCACTTCCTGTCTGATGGTTTTAGACAAAGAGAACGTCTTTGTGTGGATTTTTTTTATGGCCACAGTTCGGCCGTCACTGAGGGAAAAACAGAAAAATAAAGACACGTTTGAAGTAGAACCACAGACTGTATATCAGGGATGTAACAATAACCAAAATCTCGTGATATCGTATGGTCAAAGTTCTCACAATAATATCGTGGACCCTCACAATATATCGAATTACAAGTCTCTTTGCTTAAAGGACCCATCTCATGTAAAAAAGTCTTTTCACATTGTATCTTCTGCACATAAACAAACACAATTTGGGTTTTGGAACATCCATTACACAATAGTTATGAAATCTTACTGATTTCTTGGAGAGAGTCACAGACCAGGAACTATGAAAGTCCGACTATTGCTCCTCCCCCCGCCCGTCCTGAGAAAGCACAGGCTCCACCCTCCAAACATGATGTAGACTCTGAGTGAGCCGCCCTTCCTCCGCCCATCTCAGGGAGTTTTGTTTTGTATTGTTTTTTTTCGATATTCTGTCAAAAAATCCTATTCATAATATAGAGCCTGGTAAACCTTCCTTTGAGTGGTAGAGAAAGCTCTGGGTGGCATCACACTGGCTTAGCCCAATTTTATACAATCTATGAGTAGAACACATTTACAAAAAAAACAACCATGTCTTATCTCATGTTCCGTACTAGATTCCGGTGCAGATGAAGGTGTTTTTTTTGGCTCCTCCTGTGCAGCAGCTCAGAGCCGTCACACAGCTGCTGTTACTCTCACTGTTCCCCAGAGGAGCACTCGCGATACTGCCCATGGTCACACGGCCACGCTGGTCTGAGGACACGCAAACACATGCAAAATCACACATAGGATTCTTTATTTAGGCTTTTGAAATATGTTTTGTTGTTGAAGCTTTTGATTAATTAAAAACTTTTTGCACCTTGTTCGATTTTGGAGAAGTCAATAATCCAGCTCTCGTCCCAAAGCAGCTTCTGTTTCTGATACCACAGCCACTGGAACAGATCAATGAGTCAACAATAACCAGTGTTTTGTGTATATGTAACCTCATCAGCATTCACTGGGGGTGTGACGCTAACTGTAGACTCTGCTCTGTCACAGGCTTTATTAGATATTTATTAGAGTTTAATCTGACTTTTTATGAATACTAAAAAATACCAAATCTGTTACCAAAGCTGTTGTTCTGCTGTAAAATGCTTCGACTAATCCAAATTTTGCTCAACCAAGACTGCAGCCCCGATAACTGTGTGATTCTTACGGAGCAGAGGAGGGCGCAGCAGGTGCAGAGGATCCCCAGGGGCAGAGCGATGCCCACTTTGGTGCCTGTGCTCATGGGGCACTCTCCACAGTCTGCAGGACACGTACGACAAAGCTCCGGCTCCTCACACACGCCGTCGCCGCAGACTCAAAACACAAACATGGAAAATATGCACGATTACCTCTTAACATTTCAGCCTATTATTGTTTTAAACGTCCTTTATTACATAAAATCCTCGACATTGAGCTACTATCACCTCGCAAAGCTGTGTCTGCTTTACACACTGTGCACATGGACTCCCACTTGTCCTGACCGGGACGGAAAGCGGGGAATTTCTTGTACAAGTCATCGTTAAATGCGCATTTGCACTTTGGCAAGTTGCAGACTGACCGACTGTTTGTGTCTGCTCGCTCCTTCTGAGTGCACAGAGAGCTATGAGAGCAGCTCAGTTTAATGGCCACAATGAAAGATCATGAAAACCTGGACATTTGCATCACTTAAAAAAAAAACAGAACAGCCAGGACAGGACATGAAAAACAGACATGTGCTGGGAAAAACAAATGTTTGGTCACCGTAGCTTTAAGCCATGTTCTAATGCTGGTACCTCCTCAAAAACAGACCTGGAGGTGTGTTTTGTTTCATTCACACATGTTTACGTAACCCTTTATTAATAGTCTGTCTACATCTCCACCTTATGATGTCATGAAGCAGTAGTTTTCAAGTTAACAGCTTCTTTTATCTCTAGTTCAGTACTGATTCTCAAATCCAGGGCTCAAATTATCCAAATGATTCTGTAGTGAAGGTGTATGGAGTTTAAAAACACACTGCAGCAAAACACAAGAAATAAGTTTTTCACAATAGCTTCAGAAAGTGGTGCCATGATTCGAACCTAAAAGCTCCTGCCCTCCATCTCAAATTATGATTCTTGAACATGAACGCAACCCTACGAGCAGATGTTGACATGACCCTAACTTGCTTATGTCCATGGATTTCAGAATGATGAGAATCTAAGACCGTTGCAATAGTGATCATCTTTTTAAAACTAAATATTTTATCTTTTGAATCTGAAAAAATCCTCGAAATATGGCATGTAACAGAACGCTGAATGTCTGTTTCTTCACTTACTGACAGCAGGCGTGACGGTGCTCTTGGCCTCTAGCGCCACCTGCATGTGACCCACTCTGATGTGCGCGATCAGAGACGTGAGGCCCGGGTGGAACAAAATCACCTACAAGCAAATATCAAGAAAACAAGATCTGTTAAAGACAAATTATGTCACTTTTCTGGTCAAGGGATCACCATGGACCAGAGTCTTCACGGGTCCATTTTTGGAGACATGTACCCGCCTGCACCCGCTCAGTACAGCACTGCACCCACCCTTTAACCCGTGATTATATCAAAGTTAAATCCACACCCGCCCAGACCCGTGAACATTCCACCCGTTACCCGCCCATGGCCGTGATAAATCGAAGCTGGCCCATTACTCTGACAGCCCAATACTCCAGGACTAAACCAGGACTAAACCAGGACTAAACCTACACCGTGTCATTAGTGGATTATAAATATATACACACCGCAACCGTAGAGCTGATTGTCAGGACTACACCAGGACTGGACCAGGACTACACCAGGACTACACCAGGACCGGACCAGGACTAAAGCAGGTCTAAACCAGGATTTAACCAGGACTAAACCGAGACTGAACCAGGTCTAAACCAGGACTTAACCAGGACTAAACCGGGACTAAACCAGGACATAACCAGGACTAAACTAGGACTAAACCAGGACTAAACCAGGTCTAAACCAGGACTAAGGCACTTGTTTCCATGGCAACAGACGTCCTGGACGCTCATCAAGTATTTTTCTCCTGTTGGTCGTTCGTTTGATTCATCTGACCCGTGTGTAATCACTACCCGCCTGCATACCCACCCGTAAAACTCCAGAACATAAAAAAAAAATGTTTCAGCAACTATTTGCGGATGCCTGACCTGGTGCAGGACTCCGCCATGGACATGTTATTGATTTACCTGAAATATCCCGCAGTATGGCATTACCCCACTCACAATAACAACAAATTTAAAGTGATACCGTGAAACATTTCAGCAAAGCAGTGACATTTCCATGGAAACAATCAGGTGGCAAACCCACCTAGTGTAATCTAGTGTACTGCCATACTGTGGGATATTTGAGGAAAATCAGTGACATCTCTATGGCGATTCCTCTACCAGAAAAGTTCCGTAGTGTGCCTTTAACAGTTTGTACCTTCGCGGTCCAGTTGGTTTGGGTCATTTTCCCTGTAGTGGAGATCGTGTGGGTGAAGATCTTTCCATCATCAGGAATCCAGGGTCCACAAATGCTCTCAGTCTGAAGAAACAAAAGAACTGTGAATCCTCTGCATCATCTGACCTTCTCCTTTCATCCTCTGCTCCATGTGACCTTCTCCTCTGCTCCATCTGACCTCCTCTTTATCCTCTGCTCCATCTGACCTTCTCCTCCTCTGCTCCATCTGACCTCCTCTTTATCCTCTGCATCATCTGACCTTCTCCTTTCATCCTCTGCTCCATGTGACCTTCTCCTCTGCTCCATCTGACCTCCTCTTTATCCTCTGCATCATCTGACCTTCTCCTTTCATCCTCTGCTCCATCTGACCTCCTCTTTATCCTCTGCTCCATCTGACCTTCTCCTCCTCTGCTCCATCTGACCTTTTCCTCTGCTCCTCTGTTCCATCTGACCTTCTCCTCCTCTGCTCCACCTGAACCTCTCTTCTGCTCCATCTGACCTTCTCCTCTTCATCCTCTGCTCCATCTGACCTTCTCCTTTTCATCCTCTGCTCCATCTGACCTTCTCCTCTGCTCCTCTGTTCCATCTGAACTTCTTCTCTGCTCCATCTGACATTCCCCTCTTCATCCTCTGCTCCATCTGACCTTCTCTTCATCCTCTGCTCCATCTGACCTTCTCTTCATCCTCTGCTCCATCTGACCTTGTCCTCTGCTCCTCTGCTCTATCTGACCTTCTCCTCTGCTCCATCTGAAACTCTCTTCTTCTCCATCTGACCTTCTCCTCTTTATTCTCTGCTCCATCTGACCTCCTTTTCATCCTCTGCTCCAGCTGACCTTCTCCTCTACTCCTCTGCTCCATCTGTCCCTCTCCTCTGCTCCTCAGCCCCTCCTCTCTGCTCCTCCATCTGACCTCCTCATCCTCCTTCCCATATATTCACTGTCTCTCCTCTCTATCCAAACCATCTCTGAGTACCATGTATGTCATTGGGCAGGAGTGGATGTTGGCGTGGTGGATGCAGCAGTTTTCTCCATTGGCGTCTTTCCAGTTTGAGGGACAGTCCACATGTTCACAGAACCTCCGAGCCGACTGTGCGTCCACTATAGAACTGTGAACACAACAATGACAATGACAGAAATATGAATTACATTTCATTTTAATATTTTTTTTTTCTTGGTGAAGGAAAAAAAAAATCACATAAAATCTTGTTATTTTAAACACTTAATTGCTACGAAACCAGCGGGTATACAAATAATCTACATGTATTTAGGAATAACTGCATAATGTGCAAACATTTAGTAGTAGTAGCAGTAGTAGTAGAAGTAATAGCACTACTACTACTACTACTACAGAGGTAATAGTAGTATTAGTAGCAGTAGTAGTAGTAGTAGTGGCAATAGTTGTAGCAATAGTAGTAGTAGTAGTAGCAGTAGTAGTAGTAGGAGTAGTAATAGCGGTAATAATAGTAGTAGTGGTGGTAATATTAGTAGTAGTAGTAGTAGGAATAGTAGTAGTAGAAGTAGTAGCAGCAATAATAGTAGTAGGAGTAGTAATAGCGGTAATAATAGTAGTAGTAGCAGTAACTGTAGTAGCAGTAGAAATAGTAATAGTAGTAGTAGTAGTAGTAGTAATAGTAAGAGTAGTAACAGAAATAATAGTAATACTAGTAGCAGTGGTAGTAGAGGTAATAATAGTAGTAGTAGCAGTTGGAATAGTGGTAATAATAGTAGGAGTAGTAGTAGTAGTAGTAGCAGTAATACTAGTAGTAATAGTAGTAGTTGTTGTTGTAATAGTAATAGGAGTAGCAGAAATAATACTAGTAGTGGTGGTAGTAGAGGTAATAATAGTAGTAGTAGTAATAATAGTAGTAGTAATTGTACCTTTGGCTGAATATCTTATTGTCTACAGCCCACTGATAGAAGGAGTCCTGTGCAGTGACAGAGTACGTGACACTGAAGATTTCACCAGTCTTTACAGTCTCCGGGGGGCGCACTACCCACGCCATCTCCAGACCTGAGCAACACAACGAGCCACACAGTAAAAGTACTACATAATAATACATACAATTGACTCTTGTGAGCTTTAAGACATGTTATAATGTTGCAACCTCCTCAAAAACTGACCTAGAGTTGTGATTTGTTTCATTCAAACATGTTTGAGTAACTCTTTAGTATTAGTTTGTCTACATCTCCAAAGCTCAAAATGCTCTGTTCCACCTTGTGATGTCATGAAGCAGGAGTTTTCAACAATTACTTTTTACCTCAAGGTCAGTAGAGATTCCAATTCTAGGGCAGAAATGATCTAAATCAGACATGTCAAACTCAGGCCCGGGGGCTAAATTTGGTCCGCGATATAATTATATTTGGCCCACAAGATCAAATCAAATATGTATTAGAGCGGGCCACCGGATACAGACTATAGAAACATTATTTATTTAAAATTTTTGGTAAAACTTTGGATTAGGGAGCACATATTAATAGCTCGTTAATAGTACAATGCATAATAAGTGCTTAATTACATCTTTGTTAGTATTTCTAAAGTACTTTTAATGCATTTTTGTCTAAGGCCGTGTTTTGCGAGTACTAACCCATTAACTATTTTCTTCTCATTAAAATAGTGGAGATTACAATAGATGTTTTTGTGCATACACTGAACTCTTAATAAGCATTAATAAGTGTTTGATTAATACCAACTAATAACTAAGTAACAGCTAATTAACAAATCAATTACCACTTAGTTAGCGATTAATATGTGGTCTCTAAACTAAAGTGTTACCAGATTTTGTTATTATTTTATATTCTGCTTGTTCTGGATTCAATGTTTAAGCAAAACAAAACTATTATTAAACATTTATTTTAATAAGAAAAGGTTTAACATTGCCTATATCGAAAGAACAAAAAACATGCAGATGTTGTTGAAATTTTTCAGTAAATATTTAGTTTGGCCCATGACTTAGTCCCAGTTTTTAATTTTGGCCTCTGTGAATTTGAGTTTGACACTGTAAATAATGCTGATTACTATGCCCCAACAAATGCTCTCTTTATTAAATTAAATGCATAAAATTTCATGATTTCGTTGATCTAAATACTGCAATTGTCATGTTTAAGGCACATAATAATCTGCTCCCTCAGTGTATCCAACACATGTTCAAACCCAGAGAGAGTGAGGACAGTCTGAGAGGATCGAGCATCTTTCAGAAAGCTCATATGAGGAGCAGCCTGAAAAGTCGATGTGTCTCCATAAGAGGTGTTCATCTGTGGAATAGTCTAGTTGAAACTTTAAAAGGCTCTAAAACAATTTACCGTATTTTCCGGGCCATGAGACGCACGCTACATCCTTCAACCCCATCAAAAAAACGACTGCATGCCCCACAATCCAGAGTGCCCTATACACGAATCCAGTCGGGTGTCCCAGCACGACTTCAGTAAACTATAAAGCCACACCACCCACAGAACACACAAACACACACGGAGCAGACAGTGACCACATGGCGAAAAACACCCACAGACACACTCATCACTCCACGCCGACGAGGAACAGAACAGAGGAACGAACCGAAAAAGCGAGTGCAATGTGCCACTTCTAGACACGACTGAACAACTGAGTCACTGCGAACACGCCGACAATCCGTTGGTCCCAGACAGCACCCTCCCTACACGCCACAACTGAACAAAGCCCAGAGTCAACGTGAACGAACAAACAAACAAAACCACTCACCCATCACACTGTTGTGTTTCCTTTAAAGTCCGGTGCGGTTTATTTGTGAAAAAAGTTCGAAAATAGATCATTTAATGACAGTGCGCCTTATAATCCAGAGCACGTAATAGCTCGGAAAATATGGTACACATATGGTACTTAAAAAATATATATATGACCAGAATTGTAGAGAAAGAGAGAGAAATACAATGAATCATATTTTAGCCCATGGAACTTACAGAATAAGTGTAACCCTCAATTATATTTATATATTTAAGTGTATTTATAAACCAACAGGTATAAATATGAACATGTACATGGTCAGTGTGTGTGTGTGCGTGTGTGTGTGTGTGTCTGCGTGTGTATGAACATTGACGTGTATTGGATTGTGTTCAGTATTGTGTATGTTTTCTCTCCTGCAAAGGATGAATTTTGTGTTGTTTTCTGTAAATAGTTCTGCTGTCTTGTCTTCTGTTCTATATGTTAACAGGGTTTGGCAAAACAAGTGTTAAACTTCAGCCTAAACCCCTTCGAACGATAGAATAACCTTAGTGATATGTATAATTTTTTTTGTGTTAAATCATTGAAATATGATGTTAATTGACTGAAGAAAATAAACTAACTAACTAACACCCCTGATCTAAATGATTCTTGTGAAGGTGTGGGGAGTTTAAAAACACAGTGGTGCACTTCCTGTATTATCACATGACATCACAAAGTGGAATGTGCAGGGTTTGTGAGTTAAATGTGTGAATGAAACAAAACACAACTCCAGGTCTATTTTTGATGAGGAAACAACATCAGAACATGGATCAGAAAATAGCGTCATATAAACCCTTTAAATACAGTAGATCTTTACAATCATTTTTCTTTACTTGTCACTTTTCTTTGGCTATTTTGCATTGAAATATTCCACAGTACGGCATTATTATAACCCACAGTGCATATTATGGGATGCGTCTGACCTCCACACTGGATCATGTTGGACTCGTTTGGTTGGATGAGAGGCCAGCAGTCGTATTCGCTGTTGTCCAGGTCGTGCCAGCAGAAACAGACCCTGGTACTAGAGAAAAAAATCTGAAAATACACAACCACATGACAGACAGAAATAAAATAAATAATAATGAATCACCATTGCCTCCGAAGAGGCTGTGTTTCTGTATCTGTGCTCTTTGTGTGTTTGATTCTTCGACTTACACTTTGACAAACTTTATTGATCCACAAGGGAAATTATTTGGACACAGTAGCTCCACCTCACATTATATAACAATAACAAAGAGCAAAAAAACATGTGTTATACATTCTAAATAAGTAGCAAAAATAGAACGAGACTGGTGTCAAATAAGTCATAATTATATAACTGCTAAGGATGTAACAATATCCAAAATATCGCGATATGGTATCGTCAAAAGTCAATAATATCGTGGGCTGTCACAATATATCAAATCACAAGTTTCTTTGCTTAAATGCAGGTTTTATCGAAGCAACGTCTTATAAAAATAGGGAACTACAAATCCCATGTTTCATTTCAGTGCAGACAATATGAAGAAATATGTTTTTGACTTGAATTCTTGGGATTATGACGGTAATAATTCACACTAAAATCTTGTCAAGGTATTTTAAAATCAAAAGTGTCCCATCTACAATTATATCAGCCCCTCCAAAATATCACAGTAAATATCGTACAGTGAGATGAATATCGTGATAATATTGTACCGAGAGATTTGGATATTGTTACATCCCTAATAACTGTATATGCACAAGTAAAGTAAAAAACAGAAATATAGTAATACAAATGCGTCTTCCCTCGCTATATCGCGGTTCACCTTTCGCGGTCTTGCCGTTTTTCAGATTTTTTTAAGTGCAATTTTGCATGCTGATATATCTCAGGTTAAGGGGTGGATGCGGTGTTGTACTGCATGGGTGTGGGTCTCCAAAAATTGAGTCATGCAGAACTCTGTGCTGTAGGGCTCCATTACGGAATAAATGAATCTTCAGTTTGTAACATAAAGGAGGAAAATAACAAAAGGTCGACAGCAGCAATAAGCTTTGAGAAGGATATAAAAGGATTGTAACTGTCCTGTTTGAGAAAAGTGTATAAAGTGTGTGGTGAGGGGTTTTACAGACTTAAAACATATAATAATTGTAAAAAATATATAAAGTTGACTACTTCGCAGATTTCACCTATCGCGGGTTATTTTTAGAACGTAACCCCTGCGATAAACAAGGGACCACTGTATATCACAATTATATACGAGATATGATCTTAAAGATAATACAGCATTGTGGAAAACTAAAGAATAGGGATGTAACAATAACCAAAATATCATGTTATTGTATCGTCCAGAGTCTCTCAATAATATCGTGGGCCATTACAATATATTGAATCACAAGTTTCTTTGCTTAAATTCATAGTTATGGTGCAGCAATAGAAAAAAACAGAGGGAACTACCATGATCCTTTGCTCAATTTTGGTGCAAACTATGAAGAAATAGCAGTTCAAAGCACTTTTAAGTCTTAGTTCTTTGAGTTAAGTTTTGTCAAGACATTTTAAGAGAAAGTACCATATTCACAATTTTTTTAGCCTCCACAAAATATCGCAGTAAATACTGTACCATGAGATGTATTTTGTGAAAATATCGTACAGTGAGATTTGGATATTGTTACATCCTTACTAAAGAGCGTTTTTGTATTCGTTGACTTTTAAACTTTAAGGACATATAGCGTTGTATGTAAAAGTAATTGTGTTGATTTAAATTATACTGTATATAAAAAATAACACCATAAAAAAGGTGTATTGTCATGATTTTGTAACATAACATAAATATACACATTTAGCATGATCTGATTCTGTTCATGTTCTGAGAAAATAATGCGCAGAGGGAATCAAATAAGTGAAAATCTAAACATGCAGCCGCTTTCTGTAGTATTTTTACGTAATTCCAGCAACTTTTTTCTTTCACTGTGGTAGTAAATAAACAAAACACACTAAAATTGCACATAAACAGTCCTAAAATAAATTGTTAATAAGTTATTTTCTTACCCAGATGAGAAGCCTCAGTCTTTCTAATGTCTCCATTTTGCAGTTTATTAACGACGACAGCAACGATCAGACATAAATACAGAGAAACAGAGAGAGAGAGAGAGGGAGAGAGAAAGAAAAACAGAGAGACACAGTGAAAGAGACACACAGAAAGAGAGAGAGATGACTAAACACTGCTATCTAGAGGAGCACATTGGAACTACACTGGTGAATTATTGAAATACTACACTGAAAAAAAAAAAAGGCCACTGGATTTGCGTTAAAAAAAAAAAAAAAGTGGTTGCATGCAATAAAATCATGTTTAGGCTTTGAAACTTCTTTCGATCCCCTGTACACATATTTTTCTCAGAACATGAATGTCACTTTTCATGTTGATGAAATTTGATCAAATCATACTGAATATACATATTTATCTTATGTTACCTTATCATGAAATTAAAAAGTATGTTTGATTTAATTTAATTGATCTAATTCTGTAAAATTATAAAAAACAGTCTTTAGTTTTCCACAGTTCTGTCTTGTCTTGAACAGATTCAAACACACAGAGAGCACAGGGACAGAGACACACAGTTTGGAGCTGGACAGTGTGAAGATTTATTCCAGTGAAGACGCTCTGGTCTCTGTGGACACAGGAATATCACATGATGATCACAATCTGATGATCTACTCTGTGTTGTACATGTTTAAATACACTTAAAGCATTTATTACTCTTTAATACAATAATAAACCAGAACAGAAGAACAAGAACATCAGAACTGTACAGCAGAAACAAAACTCACCATGTGCTGCTTTTCTTCCTCTAAACGCAGTAACAGGGAGGGCATCTGGTATACATCACCCTGTAGAAACACGATCACTGTTTCACTGGGAAGTACATGTTGAAAAAATATAATTCTGTTTAGTCTTTTTAGTTGGTTTACTTACTTTGTTCATCTGTGGTCTGTGTTCTGTTGGTTCTCAAACATCTTCCTTTTTTCTGAAAGATACAGAGATTTTTTTTAGCCTTTATCCTGAGTGTGTCCTCTGCTCCTGAGCCTCACCAGAGATTAGAACAAAGTCATGTTTCCTCAACCTGATTACAACATGCAGGTCCAACATCGGCCACAATCAAGTGACCTTTGTAAGATTTAAACATGCTGGACAGAGAAATGTAAAAAAGTCATGTTATTGTTGTCAAATTTGTTTTTGCAATTTGAGCAACCCCTCTCGGACCATTTTTTCAGTGTATGGTCCAAAGCAAGAAAAATATCTGAAGAGGCTTTTTTCTTTTTTTTTTTTTTTTGCCGAAACGTTATTTTAAAAAAAAAAAAAAAAAAAGCTTTTGGACATCAGCCATGTGAATTTGCTTTGCATTTTTTCACTTTTATTTTGCTGTTCCTTGCATTTGCACCTAGAACTTTGGTGTGCATTTTCTATTTCATTTGAATTATTGAAATGGCACTGTGCACACATGTCCACACAGATGTTATTTTGTCTAGAATGTTCCACAAAATAGGGTTGTCCAGAATCAAATACTAACTGACTAAATCTAGTATCTAACTAGACACTAATTTGAGCTAAAAAGTCCCATTCACAGGACAGAAATGAAGCTTTCCTGAACAGGTTTAGAATGACTTTGGGCTGTATCAGAACAAGTATAAGAGCACATAGACTTGTAATTGAGTACTTTAATAGCCAAGTAACTACTTTTGCTTGAGTACAAATGTTCAGTACTCCTTCCACCATTGGTAAAAACTCCAAAAATTAAAATTCTTTTCTATTCTTGTGTGGTCTTCTATCTGTGTAATCCCTCAGTGGTCCATGGGTGTATACTTGTCTAGTATCTAGTTTCGATACTGGTTTTAGTGTCGATTAGTATCTGATTCTCGATACTTTTGACAGTAGTAGTAGTCTGTTTTAACATTAGTAGCTTGTGGTAGGATTGGCCTGAGGGAATTCCTGTCAGACAGTGGTATGTGTGACTTTAGGCAGGATACTGTACTTCCACTTGTTTTACTGTAATAACACGTTTGCACCTGCAGCAGACAGGAGCGGGCAGGAGCAGAGCCAGAGGAGCAGACAGGTGCAGATAGGAGCAGACTGGAACAGAGAGGAGCAGAGCCAGAGGAGCAGAAACAGAGGAGCAGAACCAGAGGAGCAGAGCCACAGGAGCAGAGCCACAGGAGCAGAACCAGAGGAGCTGAACCAGACGAGCAGAGCCAGAGGAGCAGACAGGAGCAGGATTAATGGTCTGTTTACTGTCAACAGCAGAAAGTGACTTAAGACCCTCTCCCAGGTGTCATTTGGATTAGAAGTTCTGATAACAGACACGTGTTAAAAAAAGCACTTGATTTTTACAAATAAAAAAAAAAAATAGTTCATCATTACAACAAACTTATTCAGCCTGTTCTGTTGCTTTAAATTGTTAATTTCTATGACAACTGTCTTATACAGTAGGTGCATGCACATCATTTACAGTGAGGGTCCGCACCTACCCAGGCTGGTCAATTTCATTTCTCTCCAGTGACTAGGTCAGGAGTCAGAATACACTAGACCAGGGGTGTCAAACTCATTTTGTTGTAAAATCCTGCACTCGGCTCCACTTTTCTCATGTTGGACATTTTTCTGATGAGGGTGTCACGGTCAACAGTCAAAACGATCGTCCTTTAAGAGCGTTTGGAAAGAGACAAGTCTTCATTTGTGCTGCTCTGGTGGGAGGGGCCACGTACAGAGACGCTGGAGACGCTGCTGTGATAAACACCACAGAAAATTAACAAGATTTTAATAGAAAATATAATAAAAATATTTTAGTAGAAAATCAGCCGAGGGCCAGATTAAAGGTCTTGGAGGGCCGGATCTGGCCTCCGGGCCGTATGTTTGACACCTGTGCACTAGACGGTTTGCAAGAACCTCAGAAGTTGTAGACTGCGCCCCGGCCAATCAGCGAAGAGCTGTGAAGCCATGACATCACACTCAAGTGTCTGTTGTTTACTGTTGTGCTGTCCCTTTTGTGGTACAACACAACAAGATGATGGATGTAGACGAAGACAGACGTTCTGTGTTGGCAACATGTCCCCAGATCGAGGATTTAAAGCTGGAACAAAGAGAATGTTTGGTGAATTTTATCAAGAGGAAAGACGTTATTGCCCTTCTTCCTACAGGATTTGGCACATTACATATGTCACGACCAAATAGCAGCGATTGGTTAAATAAAAAAGTAAACACCTACCGTCCAGCGAACAAGTTCTAATGCTGCGAGATCAGACAGTTTCCACAAAGTGAAACAGGCCAATGAATTAGGCTTGTCCACACCTGCTTATCTCCATGGACACGTTACTGCTTTGTCTATAACGTTCCACATTATAGATGTAAACCTATCTATCACAAGAGAGACAAGCACTGCGCTACATTACAGGTCAGATCTGTGGAGTGGCGCCCCTATTCATTAAAGAAATCACTGTAATTTTGGGCAGTAGAAACACCTGCAACAGATAAACGCTATATGGATATGTTTAATGTCATACCAGGGAACATTCTAGACAAAGCAATAACATCTCCATGGATACAAGCAGGTAGCGGAACGTTTACCAGAAAAGCTGCGCAGTGCACCTTTAAATTTTCATCATTGTGACACCTATGGATCTATATGATTGCACAGTTCAAAAATACAGTCTGGTCTAGTGTCTATTTTCATCTGGGACATATGTTAGGTCCTAAACTTAGTGTAGTCTCACCTCCTCCTCTTCCATCCTCCTCCTTTACCGCACTGGTTTCGTTTAAGTTTAAGTTACGCGTGGTCTGTATTTAACCTGAGGAGCGCACACACGAAGCCACTCCACTCTCTTCACTTTCCCCGAGATTTCTGACACATTTACGCGCGATTTACAGCTTTAACTTTCATGGATCAACTTTACGCACTGTTCTTGTTGCACTATAAACTCACCTAAAAGCTTAAAATCAGATTCTGAGCACGTCTTTGTTTCGTTTTCACGTATTTTCACACTTTTTTTCTTTCGTTGCGCATATTTTAACAGTATGTTTTCACCTGATTCGAAGCGTGGATTGTAGTGACTTTTTACCCCGGAGAGACGAGTAGGCTGTAGCCGGGTTTGGAGCATGTTCCCCCGGCTGTGGCTCGCTCTGGTGCCCGTGTGGAGCGCGTGGAGCAGCGGGCAGCGCTTGGACAGGTACGCGGTGGTACGGAGCGGATTGCGGTGGATGTTTTTTACGGATTATTTGGCTTTACGACTTCAGACTGTTAAACCTATTGTAACACGCATCTACATGTTTATATAGTAGCCTGTTATTAAGATAGAGACCTGTTTAAATTTGGCTAGCAATGATTAATTAGAATATGACCTATTTGTGATGAGGGCCACACGTGACACCACACCGTGAAAAGTTTTAAGAGCTCAAAACTTTTTAAAAAATAGATCAAAACCATACCTGGAGTTGTGTTTTGTTTCATTCACACGCATATTTAACCCACAAATCCTGCATATTTAGACTGTGTTCTTCTCTTTGTGACTTTGTGATGTCACGTGGTAATACCGGATGTGCTTCACTGTGTTTTTAAACTCCGTGCACTTTCACCAGAATCATTTGGATAAATTCAGCTTTGGAATTGCCGATCTTTACTGAACTAAAGGTAGCTGTCAGAAGGTGGAACTGAAAATTTCGAGCTCTGGAGATGTAGACAGACTAATAATAATGTTTTTGGGTAGGCAGCAGCATTCTAACATGGTTTAAATTAGTTAAGCCATGTTAGAATAAATTCTGTTTTGTGTAATTTAGGATCTTTAAGTGTTTTTGCTGGTCCTTTCATACTTGTCATTCGTCTCCTTTAAATGTATGGGTCATATAGTGTTCTAAATTGTACATATCCTTCAGCTATGTTAGAATATTACAGCCTATGATCATTAAAGGTGCACTATGTAAATTCTAAGGTTCTTTTCTCCATAGATGCTTCAAGAATTTCAGACTTCCGGTCACTGTGCAATTCATACTGGGAAGGATTTTCCGTAAAAGTGAGCATCAAACCGCCATGTTTGTTTTCCCAGGTGGATGCGTCTATTGACAAAGCCAGTCTTTTCTAGTCTTTTGAACCAAATCACTTTTGTTTGTAAAATTGTCATATTTTAGTTTTGGGATTCGGACATCATAATTGTGTGGTTGTTGGATCCTAACAGCGGAAAACGGCTTGAGAAATTTGTTTGCGAACTCCATAAATGCAAAAGGGAATCAGATGGTGCTCCACATATCAAAGCAAAATCCAGATCCCTCGCTCCATCTTGGTTACAAATTTAAAAAGTCATTGCCAAAGCGAAAGGCACCAGCTGTTCTCCAAGAAACACCTTCCACTGCAAAGCGACCAAGACGTGATGTTGCTGTAAAACCACAAGAACAAGAAAGTGCAGCTCAGTCTGTTTGTCTTCTGCACCTCTCACTTAACAAATGGGATCTGCTTTGTTGGCGCTTCACATACAAAATTTTCACTGCAAACTCAGGATGATTTAGGCAGTCAGAAGTTTCCTTTTTGGTTCTTCCTGTGGATCAATCCTGCCCATCATCTTCACCTTTCACTATTTTTCAATTCTGTTGGGAAGAGAAACAGTTTGAACAGAGGTTTGCAGTTACACACATCTGATTCACTTTTGCATTTATGAATTTCATAAACAAATTTCTCAAGCTGTTTTCCGCTGTTAGGATCCAACAACCACACAATTACAATGTTCGAATCCCAAAACTAAAATATGACAATATCAGAACCAGAAACAAAAGTGATATGGTTCAAAAGACTAGAAAAGACTGACTTTGTCAATAGACACATCCCACTGGGAAAACAAACATGGAGGTTTGATACTCACTTTTTCGGAAAATCCTTCCCAGTATGAATTGCACAATGATCGGAAGTCTGAGATTCTTGATGCGTCTATTACTGATGTTTTAACACTGGAAAAAAAACAATATTTAGGTAAGAAAAAATGACTTAAATTAAGATCATTTGATGTTATTTGAGTCAATTCAACTTGACAAGTCAAATGATCTACTAATGGAATAAGTGTGCTTTTCTTAATTCAAGCAACCTTCAGTTTCGTTTCTTATTTTAAGTGCAAAAAGTTGTTGTTTCACTGGCAGATAATTTTACTTGTCTAGTGAAATTTACTCAAATCATGATAAAACTTTCTTAATTCAAGTCATCTTAACATGGCTAGATTTTGTTTTGTTGCCATGAAAGTTCAAAAATACCTTGAAAACACTAATTATTACTTTGTGCAGGTTTGCTTCTCCATAGATCTGACCAGTACCTTGTCTCTATTATTTGTTTCCATACTGTTTAACATTCAAGACAAAGCAATTACATCTCCATGGAGACAAGCAGGTGAAAAGCAAACTCTGTTGCTTAAATAAAGAATGTTTTTTGTTATCATCGTGGTATTGGAAACGGTATCCAGTATCGAGCCTGTTCCTTAGTATCAAAAAGGACTTTAAAATTTGACTGTCGTTATCACGTTACAAATCGCACTCCTCCTACAGTGTGTTTGTCTGGAGTCCTTGGGCAAGACACTTTCCCGCTGCGTGGTTAGACTGATGTGAGCAGACGATGACACAGACAGAGAGGGGAAAGTATGTGAGGAGTCGTGTCGAGACCTGATCTGAGGTGGAACGTGCCCAGGATGCAGAGCTGGTCCAGACTGGCCCCTCCACCAATAAACTGCCTCCAATACCCCACTTAGACGATTACAATATTACATTACAGCGAGAACAGTTAAAGGTATAGTGTGTAGCTTTTATGGTGGAGGGCCGTCTACTTGTTTTCATGGAAATGTTTTTGCTTTGCCTAAAATGTTTCACAGTGTAGTATTTATCTTTTACCTGACTCACACCAGAGTGATCTGTGTGTCACTCTGAATTCTCTGAGTTCTGAGTTCTACATAGTGTTGTAGTCAAGAGCGCACTAATCGAAACCAAGACCAGTCCGAGACCACAGAGTCCCGAGACCAGGACAAGACCAAGACCTCTGAGAGTCGAGACGAGACAAGACTGAGACTTTTAAAGGCCGAGACCAAGACAAGACCGAGACTAAATTGACACCATCTTTGTCATTTCCCACATTTATCTGTATTATACAGTTATTTTGGCTCAAATATATCAATGTTTTTTATAAATCTATCTCCATTTGATCTGATTAGTGTTAATTTAGACCTAAAATAAGTCAAGCAAATTATATCACACTTAAACTCTCTGCGCTCCTTTTTTGGACCCTGACCCATAGTTTGAGAACCCTTTTTTTAAGAGAACTTCCCCCGGCACTTTACAGAAAACAACTTCAGAGTGAATCAAGTTTTTTTTTTTTTTTGCAAGTTCATAACATTTACAGTTACTGACAGTGATATTGAGCCTCTGCACATTTACAGACTGTAGTGAAATATGATCGCACTCGTCCAGTGTCAGACCTCGAGTCTGAGACAAGACCAAGGCCAAGCTCCATCAAGACTGAGACAAAACCGAGCCCAAATGCGCTTGAGTCTGAAACGAGACCAAGACCATAAAAAAGCAGTCTCAAGGCCGACCTCAAGACCAAGACCAGTTTTGAGTATTACGATAGTAGTTCTATACATTATCGATCTGAACGGCTCTTACTGAAAGAGATCAGGAAATCACAGAGTGTCATGGCGACTGTTTGAATCTGATGGTTGAACTGTCATAACAGTATCCTGATTCATCAGCCGGTTCGTGGAAACCGTCTGACCTCGCAGCATTAGAATATGTTTGCTCGACGGTAGGCGGGTACTTTTTAATTTAACCAGTCGCTGCTATTTGGTAGTGACATATGTAATGCGCCGCTAATATGGATGGATGGGATAAATGGTATATTAAGCTTTTCCCAAGTCTTTTCCTTTGATAAAGTTCAGCAAACATTCTCTTTGTTCCGGCTTTAAATTCTTGATCTCGGAAATCGTTGCCAACACAGAATTTATGGTTCTTCGCTGATTGGCTGGTGCCCGGACTTGCACTTCCGGGGTTTTTGCAAACTGTCTAGTGTATTCTGATTCCTGACCTAGTCACTGGAGAGAAATGAAATTGATACTTGATTCAATTGAATTCAATTCAATTGATTCATAACATCAGGACAAGCCGAAAAATCTAACTTTATTCAAATCCAGTTGAGGGAAAACCACAGACATGTCCCCTGTCCACAAAGGCACATTCTGCTCTTTTTTCTGCACGTTTTTCACAGACTAAATATTCCTGTAGAACTGACACTAAAAAAGAACGAAGTACATCTGTCTGCTGTGCCATGTTTGTTGGTTTATTTGGACGCTTCACCTTTGGCTCCACCCAAACCTCAATGCCGGATGCCGGATGATTAACTGTGCAACGAGGGCATCTTAAGATTTTGTAAACTCACAGATATCATGAGAATCCATCTTGCTGCACAAGGTTAATTAATGTTAACTCAATGGATACAAACAGATGGCTCCTCCAGGCTGTTATGGATCAGGTCTGTGGTTATTTTTGAACAACAAATCGCACCCGTATAATAATAAGGTGTTTAATGCCCCAGGGTGAAAAATTCCGGCCAGACATAGCAATAATACTTCCATGGAGACGTGCAAGTACTTCCACCAGGAAAGTGACTTATTTACATGTTTAAGTCATTTCGATTCAATTTATAATCACAAAAAAGTTAACATAAATAATAACTGCACATAAATAATAATAATAATGATAGTTCTAAATATGTTTTTGTGTTACAGCTGGGTTAACCTGCGGGGGGCGCTGTCTGATGGCCTGTGTCGCTACGGCAACAGCGTGGAGTGCTGTTGGGGCTGGAGTCTGGAGCACGGCCGCTGTCAACGTAAGAACACCCACAGTAAAGCAGATTATTATGAGAATTCGCTATTTAATTTATGTGAAATCGTGAATGGTTAGTGGCAGTTATTGTTTTTAGTCCTATTTAATCTATATATATTTTTTTGTATTTGCAGCTCACTGTCCTCACGGCTGTAAACACGGAGAGTGCGTTGCTCCAGGGCAATGTCAGTGTGAACCTGGATTCACCGGGAAAACCTGCAACCAAGGTACCAACACTCCACCAGTCCTGTGGGTTTGTTTTAGGGGAAATTGAATTAAATTAAATTGTGACCACAGCTCTGTATCTCGGTCTGGGAATGAAACCAAAGATCTTAGAATAACTCAGTGGTCCAGGTTGGGTTCACAGGAGCCATCAGCCTCATCCATCATGTGTAAACTCCTTACAGCCTCACTAGAATCATTTGAATTATTTCAGAATCCGTGTATCAATCGTTCATTCATTTTTCAATATAAAACCAAAAATAAGAAAACGAAAAAACAACAGTTTTCTTCATTATTTATCTCCAAAACCAAAATGAAAAAATGGATAACGATAAATTTTTTTTTTTCAGTTTTTGATTTTGTGTTTAAATGAAAAATGGGAAAAAAAACCCGATAACGACCGTTTCCTGTTTACGTGACTTCCGTGACTGCGATGCCGGACTTTTGCACCACATACGGACTGATCCAGGTCCGGGACCAGACCGGAACCAGAGCGGGACTGAGACCGGGACCAGAGCGGGATCAGAGCGGACTCCGAGCTTTGACTCTGAGTCGCCGCAGGGTCCATGCCCCAAGTTCGAGTTCCGGCCCTGCCGTGGGCTCTGAGCCTCCGGTCTGGTCCCAGTCTAGTCCCGGCCTGGTCTCGGTCTCAGTCCCGATCTGGTCCCAGTCTAGTCCCGGTCTGGTCCTGGTCTGGTCCTGGTCTGGTCCTGGTCTGGTCCTGGTCTGGTCCTGGACCTGGATCAGTCCTGGTTCAGTTCGTATGCAGTGTAAAAGTCCAGCATCGCAGTCACGTAAATGGAAAACGGTCGTTATCCGTTTTTTCCATTCTTCATTTAAACACAAAATCGAAAACTGAAAAAAATTATCGTTATTTGTTTTTTCATTTTGGTTTTGGAGACAAATAGTGAAGAAAACAGTTGTTTTTGAAAAACGAATGAACAAATGATACACGGATTTTTCAGTCCTGGAATTTCCAATCTCTACTGAAATAAAGATAAAACGTAGCAGTTTGCATGAAAACTACCACTTGATGACATCACAAGGACGAACAGAGCATTTTGAGCTTTGGAGATGTAGACATACTAATAATAAATGGTTACTCAAACACAACTCCGGGCATGTTTTTAATGTGGTTACAGCATTATAACATGGATTAAAGATCACTAATGAAATATAATTAAATGAAATTACTATTCATCTTGATTCATTTAAAATAATAACAGTGCATTAATCTTCTATTGCTCAATTGAACTTATTGTGTGTTACCTCTTCATTCCATGTTCTGTGGTATACTGCTGTACTACTAAGTACTATAAAATACTGCTGTAGTCACAGACTGAGGGAAGTGAGGCTGCCAGTCTGTGCCATCAGCCCCTCTGACCACCACCAACACTCAACGTTCACACTCACACACATATTAGACAAGGTGAACTAAGGACACAAAAACAGTATGCATATTAGCTGCTCCACTGTGGCACAATAGATTTCTGTAGATTTATTTATTTACCATATTTTCCGGGCTATTAGACGCGCTCTTAATCCTCCAACCCCATCAAAAAACGACTGCACGTCCCACAATCCAGAGCGCCTTATACACGAATCCAATCGGGTGTCCCAGCACGACTTCAGTAAACTACAAAGCCGCACCACCCACAGCACACACAAACACACACGGAGCAGACAGCGACCACACAGTGACAAACACCCACAGCCACACTCGTCACTCCACGCCGACGAGGAACGGAACGGAGGAACGAACCGGAAAAGCGAGCGCAATGTGCCACTTCTAGACACAACTGAACAACTGAGTCACTGTGAACACACCGACAATCCGTTGGTCCCAGACAGCACCCTCCCTACACGCCACAACTGAACAAAGCCCAGAGTCACTGTGAACGCCACAAACAAAGTCCAACTGAGCCACTGAACTGTTGTGTTTCGTTTAAAATCTGGTGCAGTTTATTTGTGAAAAAAGTTTGAAAATAGACCATTCAGTGGCAGTGCGCCTCATAATCCAGAATGACTAATTGTACGGAAAATACGGTATTTGAGACAGGGACAGCGCACAATTTTTACATTAAGTAAGTAAGTCTTTATTTATATACAGCTTTTCACAGACAGTTTTTGTGCCCAAAGACACTTTACACAGCATTATTCAGCATTATTAATTCACTCTGTACCTGGTGATGTTAAGATACTATTGTAGCCACAGCTGCCCTGGCACAGACTGACAGAAGCGCAGCTGCCATGCCAATCAGCGCCATCGGTTCCCTCCGACCACCACCACCACTCACACACACACCACTTTCATACTAGGCAATGTGGGTGAAGTGTCTTGCCTAAGGACACAATGATTGAATTGACTGTATTTAACTGACCTTGACTATCAACTGTTCATGGAGACCTGGAGCATGTTTTGGGTTGCTGGTTAACCTTAACAGGAGAGATGCATTGTACCAGGTTGTAGCATCACCAGGTTGTACCAGGTTGATTGTATTTAACTGACCTTAGCTATTAACTATTCTTGGAGATCTATGGAGCATGTTTTGGGTTAATGGGGGAAACCGGAGCGCCCAGAGGAAACCCATCCAGACACAGGGAGAAACATGCAAACTCCACACAGAAAGGCCCAGGCGACCCGGGGATCGAACCCAGAACCTTCCGTGCCACCCAATATTCCCAGTGGTCTCCCATCTAAGCACTAACCAGGCCCAAGATCAGACAAGATCATTCAAATTAATCATGAAATAAGAAAATATGGATAAAAAATAGAAATGTATATTGAAATATTATACTGAAGCTATACAAACAATCAAATGGGTCAGATTAGTTTCAGTCTGATCACTGTAAACATGTGAAACCTGAGCAGACTTCAGCCGCAGTCACACTCAGCCTTGGTGTGTGTTTAACTGGAGCTGCAGAGGCACATTCCTGCGGCGAGGATCACCTGAGGAGAAAGCCTGACTCTGTTTTTAAACCTGACTCTAATCCTGTGATTACACACAAACACGTCCAGCGCGTGTGCCTCCAGACTCCTGATAATACACAGAGGTGTCAGGGACTGTTTTCACATGTTTATAGAGATTAGTTGTCGGTAAGTCACCACCTACTGCTTCGGTGTTTGAACGTGAGATTTACAAGAAGTGTTTCATAAACTTAAGCATGTTTATATTGTTAACTGATTTAATTGCTTAGAACTTCTTTAGCACTTTACGAACATGTGAGTCTGGTCATTGTGAATCTCCCAGAGTTTAGATGAATGTGATTTGACAGGTGGATTAGCCAATCAGAGACACACATGGTCCATCTGTATCAAAAAAAATATGTTTATGAGGAGAAAATAAAGGAAAAAAAAAACATGACAGGGCACTGAAAAACACAGTTTCTGCAGAATCAATGAGCGAAGCACTAAATTTGGTTCATCTGAGTTGTAAGGCTTGGTACCGTTTGATTTTTTTCTATACCAGTACTTTAACAATACCTGCATTTCAGTACTGGGTATTGAAGGGTCCTTTGGTTCATATTATCTGTTTGGCTTCAACATTACGCAGACGCACACTTATTATGGATTTACACATTTACCAGGACCAGGAGTTTGGTTTAACTTACACACCACCATGAACACACACACTACACACTGTGACTGGATGTGGATTTATTATTATGCACTTTGAGTTTGAGAAAGATCCTGCACTGGGGACCTGATGTGTTTTTGGGTGGTTTCACTCTGCACGAGGTTTCATCAGGTCTTCTGTTTTACTGGTATGAGACACATTGCTTTGTTTGGATACATGTAGGCCTATGTTAAACATGAGTTTGTGCCAAAGGATTTGTACAGAGTGCAGTTGAGACACGTGAGCACTTGTGCTGTTGTTGAACTGGTGCGGTGTATTTAAAGGGCCCATCTCATTCAAAATAACTCTTTTCACATTGTATCTTCTGCACATAAACAAGCACAACTGGGTTTTGAAACATCCTTTAGACAATAGTTCTGAAATCTTACTGATTTCTTGGAGACAGTCACAGACCAGGAACTATGAAAGGTCGACTATTGCTCATCCCCCCGCCCGTCCTGAGAAAGCACAGGCTCCGCCCTCCAAATGTGACGTAGCCTCTGAGCGAGCCACCCTTCCTCCGCCCATCTCAGGGGCGGGTGCAAAGCGCTTTCTGCTACGTCTAGCGCGTCATAGGTGTAGCTGGCTTTGTTCATCGTTGTAGCAGCTAGTTCGTTGTCATGTGGGAGGGTGGCAGAAATACTCTGCAATTTGTTTAAAAAAAAAAAGCTGAATCAATCTAAAAACCACTTCGGCGACATACACAAGGCCCACACATCACTCTTAGATGGCAGAAAGCTCTGAAAAGTTGATTTTGCACGAGATGGGCCCTTTAAAGTCAAGGAAATGAAAGTTGGCACCAAGATTTTAGATTTTTGGCACCTGTACTTACCTGAAGTTTTCGGTTGGTTTCTACTTGGAGCCAGATTTTGGGATCCCGCTCTGTTGAGGTGAGAGAAATGTGATTTTGTTCTAAATGATATGTGACCAATGAGCTTCTTCATTTCATGTGTCAGTGATTAAAACAATTCTGATTAGGCGGCCATTCTTTAGCCTTTCTCAAGACACGGTGGAGGGCATGGAGACCAGACGGATATCATTAAAAAAAAAATACTGAGAAATATCATTCTGGAAATACACATGTGCTACAATAATACAATAAATACAACTGGAACAGAAACAGAGCAGAATGTCGTTTTATTAGCCAGTACTTGAGTCTTCTGGTAATGTTTTTCCAAATCTCTAGAGAAGCCCCTGAGCTCTGTCCTCTTTGGTTAACCCTGGTCTGCTCTGTGTTAGCGATTACCTTTAGTGCTGTGTGTTTTCCCTCTCTGTGAGTTTAACCTCTGACCTTTGACCCCGGCGATGACAGCAGCAGTGTGAAGTGTGTCTGGAGCCAGTTAATCTGAGAAGGCACTTTGGGAAAAACAAAGACTGAAACTGACTTTGGCAATGAGTCAGCCATCAAAATGAAAACATGGAAGTCAGTTAAACAGCAACAGCAGTCACAACAAAACAAAAAGAAGGCTCAGTCAGACCCAACACATTTTTTGTTTTTTTAAATCATAACTTTTTAAAATTTTGTATTATATTAAAGGTCTTATATTACATACACTAGACTCTTGTGAACGTAAAGCCATGTTATATATTAGCTCCTCAAAAATGTAACTGGAGATGTGTTTGTGTCATTTACAAATGTTTGAGTAACCCTTTGTTATTAGTCTGTTTACATCTCCAAAGCTTAAAATGCTCTACTCCACCTTATGATGTCATCAAGTGGTAGTTTTCATGTTAAAGGGACAGTTCAGAATTTTGGGACCTCATTTCCTAGTGAGCCAGAGTGTTGGAGACGTGTGGAGACACTTTTTAAAATATTCCATCCAGTCCTTGTATTTGCAGCGGTTGTTGGTGTTAGACTAGTGCAAGTCAATGGCCATAGTTATTCTGCCACTAAAAACAGTCTTACCCACTCCACAAAACACCCGAAACAAATGTATTATTACACCAGACTGTCCATGTAAATGTCTGGCTCAATAGTATAATTTTAGAAGTAAAACCAACTTTGTATTTGAAGGATTTATGTGTGAGCAGCAGCAGCGAGTCGTACTTCCTGAACGAATGAAAGCTTGGCAGCGGCGGACTGATATATGAGAAAATAGTCCCTCAACAAGCAATGATTCATGTGTTGCAAGGTAAATTTTTATTTCAAATATTATTCTATCAACACAGACATTCACATCAACAGTCTGGAGTAATAATAGATTTGTTTCGGGTGTTTTGTGGAGTGGGTAAGACTGTTTTGGTGGCAGGAGAACTATGGCCATTGACTTGCACTAGCCTAGCACCAGCAACCTCTGCAAATACAAGGACTGGATGAAATATCTAAAAAAGTGTCTCCACATGTCTCCAACACTCTGGCTCACTAACAAATGAGGCCCCATGTCTAAAAGTCCAGACTGTCCCTTTAAGTTTTAGTTCAGTTGAGATTTGCAATACCAGAAAAATGCATAATATGGAACTGTAGGTATGCTCTCATAGTTATTAACAAGGTATTCTCATCACCACTGAAGCCGTGTCTCTAGAGCTTTCACCTGCAGATAGAGGACACATCCAAGTTTGTCTCATTCTTAGTATATGGACAGACCATGTCTCAAGTGAACCTCCAGATTTCCCTCACTGAGCTGCACAGGCTGCACTAGCATTGATTCATGTTTAAATGTGACATAAAATGTGTTTTTTTATATATATATTGCTGTCTATTCTTTTTTCTGTTTTTTTGTGTCCACAGATCTGAATGAGTGCGGTCTGAAGCCCCGGCCCTGTAAACACCGCTGTATGAACACTGTGGGCAGCTACAAGTGCTACTGTTCAGACGGGTTCAGACTGCAGCCAGACGGGTCCTGTGCAAGTGAGTATCACCAGGCTGATGCTATGTCTGTGAGCAAGGCACCGGGCCCATGTGAATGTGGTCCAAGTGATTGTGAGTGGTTGGTGGTGGTCAGAGGGTCTGTAGCTTACTGCCACTCTTAAGTGAATGAATATTAACTGAGTGAAGAGTTTTTAGAGACACAAGATTGTCTTTCAGGCTACGTTTATGATGATGGTCTGAACAGAAGACGCAAAAGTGGCATCACGTCTTAATTTTTTATTCTGCATTCAGACAAGTGTTTTCAGGAGGAAATCTGTGTGCATACGGTGACGCAGAAGTGTGTGGAATTGGATTGGGTATGCATGCCAGGTTTCTGTGTACTGCATATATGTGACATAAACAGGTACACAGTGAGCAGATCTGACCAGAGTTTTGTGTGTGGGCAGTGTAGACGGAAACACTACGGTGGAGAGCTTTTCCAATCTGGAGGGTGGTTTCAGACTTTTGCGTTTTTAAGCCCCAAAAACACCGTCACCATCTACATGAAAGGCACTTCTGATAAAATATTTTGTCATTTTTATCCGCAAGCGTTCTCATGTAAACAGACCCTTACTTAGTAAGAGGATAGACGACGTCCTCAGAACAAGTACAGCAGCAGTAAAGACATTAACAATATGGAATAAATGATGCACAAGACAAAACCTAACATAAAAGACACACACACACTCACACACAGACATAGTTCTTCTTAATTCATGAATTTACAAATCAGTGTGAGTATTATATGAAAACAATAGGACTAAATATGAAAAACGTGTACTGTTTTGTAGATGCACGCACGTGTTTCCATGCTAACTGTCAGTACGGCTGTGAGGTCATGAAGGGGCGGGTCCGCTGCACCTGCCCGTCACCGGGGTTACAACTCGGCCCGGACCAGCGCACCTGTGTAGGTAAGACAAGATTTAATCCAAAATCCTAATATGACCATTTGTGTTTAAAAAGCAGATTGATATTTTGAGTTTTACATGTATTAGTCTGGAACGGCTCTGGAAAAGGTGGAGCATCATGGTGATGACTGGAATCTGATTGGTCGAAGCGTTACAAACAGATCAAGCATGAAAATCTAACTTTACTTAAATCCAGTTGAGAGAAAAGCACAGACATCTCTCTCCCCACAAAGCTCTTCCTTCTGCATGTTTTTTTGGTTTTGAGTCGTTTGGGTGCTTCATTTTTGGCTCCACCCAAACCTCAATGCTGTGACGTGATTGGTCCAATCTCTGTCCTACTGGTGGTTGGACTTTATTGCACTACCAAACTCACAAATATCAAGAAAAATCATCTTTTTGTCCCAGTTACAAGTCGAGGGTTTCTCAGTCATTTCATATTTTCGTGTGAACAATAACTCAATTATTTAGCATTGATAATATGACACAGACTGGACAAAAGGCAAAAGATGCCTCAGTGAAAGTGTTTTTATTATTCATCCCTCAGACATAAACGAGTGTGTGTCCATCCCCGGGGTCTGTCCTCATCGCAGGAAATGTGTGAACACTTTCGGTAGCTTCGTTTGTAAATGTCACTTTGGATTCAGACTGAGCTACATCAACGGACGTTACAGCTGCATCGGTCAGTAACAGAGAGATATTCTCCAGTTATTTTCATGTGTATTTTATTGTAGTTTTGTTCATTAAACCTTCTCTATCATCTTGACCAGATAAGGACTCAAGATCGTTCTGTTCTCTGAATCCTGACGCTCCAAAGTGCAAGTGCAAAGATGGAAGCTGCAAAGGTACAAACTAAATTTTTCTTCTTAAAAGGTCCCATATTACCGTATTTTCCGCACTAAAGGGAGCTCTGGATTATGAGGCGCACTGTCACTGAATGGTCTATTTTCAAACTTTTTTCACATATAAACCGCACCAGACTATAAGGTGCATTAAACAAAACACAACAGTGTGATGGGTGAGTGGTTTTGACTTTGTTTGCGTTCACGGTGACTCTGGGCTTTGTTCAGTTGTGGCGTGTAGGGAGGGTGCTGTCTGGGACCAACGTGATTGTCGGCGTGTTCGCAGTGACTCAGTTGTTCAGTTGTGTCTAGAAGTGGCACATTGCACTCGCCAGTTCGTTCCTCCGTTCCGTTCCTCGTCTGTGTGGAGTGATGAGTGTGTCTGTGGGTGTGTTTGGCTGTGCGGTCGCTGTCTGCTCCGTGTGTGTTTGCGTGCTCTGCAGGTGGTGTGGCTTTGTAATTTACTGAAGTCGTGCTGGGACACCCGAGTGGATTTGTGTATTGGGCGCTCTGGATTGCGGGGCGCGCAGTCGTTTTTTTGGCATGCGACGGCTAGCGCGTTAGCTATGTCCACTTAAATATACGGTCTATGGTTTATACGAACATTTTAAGACCAAAATGGCTCACAGCAGCAGTTACAGCGAGAGGTCACAGTATTCTAATGTAAGTTGATGGAGTCAGGGTCAGTAGGAGCCGGAGAAGCCCGTATGTGAACTTCCTATATGGAACAGACCAGTTAGCACATGAACTATGTCCATTTACCTTATATATACAGTCTATGTTTCTACTTTGTGATGTCATGATGCAGTATTTTTTATTATAACAGCTCCTTTTACCTTCAGTTCAGTAGAGATTGACAATTCCAGGGCTGAAATCATTCAAATGATTCTAGTGAAGGTGTATGGAGTTTGTAAATACAGTGAAGCACTTTCTGAACTATCACATGACATCAAAAGGTGGGACAGCGTGTTATCTGTTTGTGAGAAAAAGTCAGCCTAAACATAAAGATTTTGTGTGTTAAACATGTGTAAATGAAACAAAATATAACTCCAGGTCTGTTTGCGATGAAGAAACTACATTAAAAATGAAATTATATATTTGTCTGTGATGAATATTCATGTTCAAACTAGGGGTGGGCAATATCTCGATATTTTAAATATATCGAGACATTTTTAAAACTCGATATGGATTCTGACATATCATATATATCGATATAATGCTTATATTCAATTCAATCGCTGCTTAGCTTGTTTGCCTTCTCTCTTTTCGCCCCTGCACACACTCGCCTACCTGATCTTGCTACTTGTGTGTCATTCACTCCTCACTTCCGCTGTGAATGCCCAAAGATGGTGCCAATGAAAAGCTTCTAGCACCATGAACCTTTTCCACCATTTATAGACAAGACCATCAGCAGCACATCCTCTGTCACAGAGAGAACACTCATATTCCACAGAGTCATGTCCTTTAGTCCAAAAGAAGCTGAACCACATGAGTAACAGAGGAGCAAGCTGTTTATGCAAATGAGCCATGTGGTTTTAAGTTTCGTTTCTGTAAAAGGTAAACACATGTGCACAAAACTGCATTAAACACATGAGAATCTCAAACAGTTTGATGTGGCTCTAGAGTCGTTATGCTTTATATGTCGTAAAGTTTAGTCATGTAAAATTTATTTTAATTTATTTATGCAGAAGATTTTAACTAATAATCTGCTGCAGTGTAACTTGTACAATAGTGTTTGGAAGTGTTGGGTTTGATCTGCAGTGGATTGTGGGAAACCTCAGAGCTCCTCACACTGCTGAGGAACATGGATCTGTTAAAATAAGGAATCTCCTGAGCTTCCTGTGCTAAAGGAGCTCATGGTTGTTGTACGGTTACGAGTTGATGCAAAGATGAGCTTGAGTTGAGTTGTTTTATTTATGAATGAAAAGAAGGAAATATGTATTTCTTTTATTTTACAGTTAAATTATTATTTATGTAATCAAGGATTTTTCGTAATCTTAAATGTGGCAGACGCACTTAGTTTCTACATGAACTGTCTACCTCTTGCACTTCAATAAAAAAGACCTTGTGGAATTGGCATATTTGTTTTTGCAGGAGTTTTTGCGGGGTTATTTTTCCTGTACAGATATCGAGATATATATCGTATATCAAGATGTAGTTAAAACACCCAAAAAAGTTACACAGTGGGTCTTTAAAATGAGCTTTAATGGTTTTACATGTGTCTAATTACCGACTCTTTCCACAGATATGCCCAAAGTCAAAGTGGAGCCCCAAGCACCAAGAACTACAACAACTACTACTCCTACTACCCCTGCTACTACTACTGCATCTATAACTACTACAATAATCCCTACAACTACCCCTACAACTACTACTACTACTAGTACTACTACTGCTTCTACTACAACTACACCACTCATTACTACTAGGACAACCCCCACCACTATAACCACTGCTACTACTGCTACTACTACTACCCTTGCTACTACACCAGTTGCTACTACTACTATTACTACTACTACTACTACTACGCAGGCTACTACTACTACAGGCCCACCTATTACTACTACTGCTACTACAACACCACCTCCAACTATTACTACTACTATTACTACTACTACTACTGTTCCTACTACTACTACTACTACTACTACTGCTGCTACTACAACTCCACCCTCTACAACCTCTACTTTAAAAACCACTACTGCTACATTTACTACTCCAATTCCTTCTACTACTACTGCTACTACGCCTTGGGTGACCACAGAACAGGAAACTACCACAACAAGACAGACCACAGCTCCTACAACTCTTATGATGAAAACTACACCTACCTCATCACCCACGACGACCGTAAACAACCACATCAACAAGGAAGTGACGCATCGGCAGAGAGGAGACGTGCATAGTAAGAAACCAAAAGCGATTACATTTTTAGGAACTTTAAAGGTCCTATATTACGCAAAAACAACTCTTGTGAGCTTTAAGACATGTAATAATGCTGTTATCCCATCAAAATCCTTCCTGGAGTTGTGTTTTATTTCATTCACATGTTTAAGTAACCCTTTATAATTAGTTTGCCTACATCCCCAAAGCTCAAAATGCTCTGCTCCACCTTGTGATGTCATGAAGTGGTAATTTTCAACAGCTTTTTAAAATCTTTTGTTCAGTAGAGATTGGGGCAATTCCACAGCTGAAATGATTCTAGTGAAGGTGTATGGAGTTTAAAAACACAGTGCATTACCACATGACATCAAGGTGGAACAGAGTGTTTTATGTTTAAGAGAAGAACTAAATCTACAGGGTTTGTGTGTTAAACATGTGTAAAATGAAACAAAACACAACTCCGTCTGTTTGTGATGAGGAAACAACATTAGAACATAGATCAGAAAAAATCATAATAGGGGCCCTTTAGTTACTTCCAAAAATCTTCTGTCTGTGCATCTCAGTAAAATCGTCAATAAAACTTGCTGAGGAGTTTTGTATATGACTATGTAGAGTATGGAGGGGGATTGTTTTGGCTCCATTTTGAAGGAAATTACTCAAATGATGAAAACATCTCAAATGACAACCTGTGTTTAACCAAATGATCTCTAAAAAATGCACACACTCCTCCACCCTTTTTATTTGCTCGTGTTTCAGATTCAAATTTGAAATTGGGAGGGGTTGATTCCTCTAGCACTGCATTACCAGTGTTTTTGTCAAGCCATGTTTCAGTTAAAAATATCAAGTCAAGATTAAAAGAAGAAATAAAATCATTAATTAGAAATGATTTGTTACATAAAGATGTGACATTGAGTTTAGTTTAGTTTTAGTTTTTGTTTGTCAGGGACAATGCACATGGGCCCGGTCAAGCAGAAGTAAACAACAAGGCCAAAAATTCAAGTTAATACATCTGATATAAAAATGGATTGAACAGATACATATGTACTCTAGTTTATGAAACTGTTGACCTTTTTTCTGTACCATTTTTGGTTCTAAAGTTCCATATGTTTTAAACAGACCATGTATGAAACATGGAACAAAAATTATTTCCCAAATTTCAAAGACCTGAAAATCATGTCAATAAATGGATGTATTTCATCATATCTTGTGTTATTCCATCTTTGAACTGTTGATGAAGGGACAGGATTTAAAAAAAAAAAAAAAGTATTTAAAATGATAAAAATTTGCTTGGAAGGACTGACATATTTTATAGAAATAGTTTCCTTTCATTTTGAAGTAATATTAAAGTTTTCAGAAGAAAAAAGCTGATAAATGATGTAAAATCCTGCACCTTCTACTTGTTTGCACAATTTTCCCTCCGTTACTTTTCCCTCCGTCACCATGACCTTTCTTAATAAAAAATGTCATGACTCAAAAAGTAAGAGGTTTTTCAGCCTAATCTTGTACCATATGGTAGAAAAACTATATGAAGAAAATATTCAAACCAGTTTGTTAAGGATATGGAAGTGAGAACCAAGAGTTATCACTGTTTGGATTTATTGCCCAAAAAGTGCTGCATATTTCATTCCCTCCGTTACCGACATGAGTTTTTAAATTTTTTGTCAACAACTTGAAAGAATATCACAGGTTTAACTTGACCCTGTTGGAGTGTAACTCTTTCCTACATTCTGATACTTTACTTATTTCAATAGTCCCTCTAGTTTCTGAATAAGAGACATTTGAATGTCAAAAATCTGCCCCTGTTTCCCTCCGTTACCACTTGACCGAACCCATATAAAAACACTGAGCTACACAAAGAGGTTATAGCAAGAACACAGCAAGTTTCAGATTAGTTTCAGTAGGACTGGATGTTATCTTCTTACAGGGAATATGAACTAAATTTCTCTGATTAGACAGTCTAACTGTCCTTGTGTTAACCCGTCTATGTGTTGTAACTGGAGATAAAGCTCCACCGCAGGGCCTCAGTCTGATGTTACCTTTATCATGACTGTATGTCCTGGCACAGCAGAGGCCCTGTGCGTCCGAGCTCTTGGTGATAACAGCTTTGGGGAAAGGTGAGGAGGGGAGAGTTTGGGTGAGGGACCAGGTGAGGGCTGAGGAGGTGGAGCAGGGGGGCGTTTAGGTGAAGGATTAGAGGGGAGAGCTGAGAGGGTCTTTACTGGTGAAATGGGCACAGTTTTGTATGAGGGAGAGTTCAGCATAGTTGATGTGTGACCCCTTGACCGTGCTATGTTAGGTGTGAGAGGAACCATCTTGATTCCCGATCTGATGAGGCTTTCAAGATGGTTGGGAAGGGCCATGGGTGAAGGTGGGGAGGAGAAGGAGAGTGAAGAGTCCGTTGATGGAGTAGATGTAACAAATGGGACTCTTTGCTTCATCTACTCCATCTACTACTCGGCTTCTAGGAGGTTAAACTCTCAGAAAAATGGTCTCCAGATTCCTTTTACTAGCGCAACTTTAATAATAATAATTGTACTTTCTATTTTCTATAAATGCACTTTACATTTGACAAGCAAATCTCAGAGCGCTACAGTAAAACATTCCTAAAAGTATGAACCTTTGTGTAATTTTAAACTTTTTTTTTTTTTTCCCAACTTTGATTCACAACATTCTCTTGACTGGTATACAACTATCTACATGTATGTGTCTGATCCTCTGGTTCTGCTCCTGTCAGCTCCTGCTCCTGTCAGCTCCTGTCAGCTCCTGTCAGCTCCTGTCTGCTCCTGTCTGCTCCTGTCAGCTCCTGTCAGCTCCTGTCTGCTCCTGTCAGCTCCTGTCAGCTCCTGTCTGCTCTTCTGGCTCTGCTCCTGTCCACTTCTTACATTGTCACACAAGTTTTTTTTGTTTTTGTTTCCAGTTCCTCGTCACCCCGGGCATAACCAGGTTTGGGAATTCGACATAGAATTGGGAAACACGGCAGATGAAGCTAAAGACGACGCAGGTGAGTCGCTCTCAAACAAATTATGTGAATGTTGCTTTTTCAGATCAAGGTCAGTTTTCTTATATCCACTTTGTTTTTGTCTTTTTTTTTTTTTACCATATTGTGGCCCTATGGTCACACAATAAAGCCACAAGGTGTACAAATAGACAAATTTGCTCCTTCCTTTTTGTTATAGGTCATATATCATATTCCCACAACTGCTTCAGAAAATTATATGCACTGGTGTTATGGTTTGAAAGAATTGCATTGTACTCAGTAATGTTTCCTTTTAGTGAGACAGTTGAGATCATTGTGCAGTCCAACTTGGTCTAAATTTATTCTCTGTTAACAATGTACAGATAAAATTTCAAATTTGAAGGTATTTGTAGAAATTCTTAACAGGAATATTAAATTCATCTCTGAGTTTTTCAAAAGATTTTATGATATTTAATGAGCACAAGACAGAAAAGTTGGTAATGCCAACAGAAACCCAATTTTAATGACCAGTACCCCTAATTTGTTCAGAAATATCGGGTTTAGATTTAAAGGAGATCAAACAGATAAAAATGATTGGAATATTCAAATGTATGTCTTTCCATACCAACCATGTATTTTGCACACTATATGGTGCTCTGGATTATAAGGTGTTCTGTCACTGAATGGTCTATTTTCAAACTTTTTTCACATATAAACTGCACCGGACTATAAAGCGCATTAAATGAAACACAACAGTTAGATAAGTCAGTCAAACTTTATTTAACGTGCTCACAATAACTCTCAACTTTGTTCATTTGTAACACATAAAAAAAATACTGTCTGAGACACTCAATTGTTAGTGTATTCACAATAAGTCATAATTGTTCAAACAGTTGGGTGATTACAGCGTCCATCACGCCCACATCCCTCTCGTCATTATCCGAGTCAGTGTGGTTACTGTTCCCTGGCAGTTCAGTGATGATTCTGGTCTTGGTGAAAGCTCGGACCACAGTTGATACTGATCCTTAGTCCAGGCGTCCACGATCCATTGGCAGATCGTGGTGTAAGTGGCTCGGCGCTGTCTCTCTGTCTTGGTGAATGTGTGTTCTCCTTCTCTCATCCACTGCTCCCACACAGCTCACACTTTCACTTTATAACAGCCTTGAGTTTAAAGTGGGTGTTGTAAGTGTGTCTCTTGACAGGTGCATTTTGACATTAAAAGGAATCACAGTATGTATTACTCCTGATGCTCCTGACTACGGGAGCCGTAATGCTGCAAATGGTGCAGTTTTGTAGTTTACTAAAGTCGTACTAAGACACCCCAATAAATTCATCTCTAAGGCGCTCTGGATTATAAGACGCGCAGTCGTTTTTTGATGAAATGATGAAGTGCGCCTTATAGTGCGGAAAATACAGTAAATAGAATGCAGTTTTTACTCAACTTTTCCATGTTAATTGCGCTATTGATAAACAAAACGTCCTCCAGTCTAATAGAACTACATAAAGGATTCCACTTCAACCCAATTTGATTATTCTCTTTTTAAAAAAACAACTGGTCATCATTTTAAATTGGGCCGATCAATAGTAGAGTTGAGCTTTGGGGATGTAAATTGGGCCTCCTAACTGTTTTGGTTTGGTAAGTGTATCACATTTAATTCTCATGCTTCTTCCTCCAAATATTGTATGAAATGATGCTATAGATTATATCCTTTTTATAATATCTACAAGGAAAATATCCTGAGAATCACACAATAAACCGCAATCCTTCATTCTGCATCCAACCACATCCCAACTAATACAGACATTTTACATGCCCCATCTTAATTAAACATTAAACAGTTATATTTGGAGTTAAAACCTCGTTGGTGGGGCAGTTGCGTCCGCTGGCTCATGGGTTGGCGGTGTGATTCAGGCTCCCACAGATGAACACTGAAGTGCTTGTGTTCTCGGGCAAGACACTTAACCCACCTCACCCCCAATGTGTTTTGTTGAAGGTGAAAGCTCTAAATATACAGTACAAGTATGTGACCATTTGCTGGTTTAGTGTAGAAAAAGCCGTGGGGTTTGAAACGTCATAATCCAAGATCATTTCTCTTCAGGTGCTGTGTCTCTGGAGTGTTCGTTTGATCGGGGACTGTGTGACTGGCTTTCTGAACGAGAGGGAGATCTGCACTGGGAGACCACTCAGGGGTCAACAGGTAAGGAGGATATGGAACTTGGAACTAGAGGTCTGCGCGGGACAGAATTTTCAGTCCTGCTCCTGCTCACTCCCGCACTGTGTAGTCCCACTCCCGCCCGCTCCCGCAAAGAATTCTAACTTCCAGTCCCACTCCCGCTCGCATCTGCGATATTTTATCCTATGCCCGCCCTTTGCTTTCTTAAATCAAATCAAACTTTATTTATAAAGCGCTTTTCATACAAAACTGTAACACAAAGTGCTTTACAGTGATTAAAATAATCCCACATTTCCATCCACCCACCCAATACCCACACCTGCCCGACCCCACACAACCAGACAACCCAAACACACACACACACACTCACACACACTCACGCACTCACACAAACACGGTAAAATACATAAAACGACACATAGTAAGATGTGAGGCTGAATACAGGTGAACCAGTTGAGAAAGCACCATCAGAGGAGACGTCTACACCAGGAGCAGAGAGACGTCCACCACCACCAGGAACCACCACAGGAGCCAGGGGAGAGATGAAGCCCAGACACCAACCCTCCACCAGGAGCCCACAGGACAGACCCAGCGGCCACAGCCGACCTCTGCTCCTGATGCAGAGGCTCCTACAGAGGAAACACTGGAAATCCTAAAAATATACCTAAAATAAATAAATATAATAAAATATATAGACTAGAAACAAGTAAAAGTATAAGATTTCAATCAAAAGCTAAGCTAAGCTAAGCTTAAGCTCTATCAAACACAGAGAAGTGAAAGGAATTGGGTTGCGTATGGGAGGAGGTGGGCAGTATGGCGGCATGGTTAAGTCCTGGCTAAATCCTGTTTTAGTCGTGGTTTTAGATCTGTTTTTAGACCTGGTTTAGTCCTGGTTTAGTTCTGGTTTAGTGGCGCAGCCCGCACAACGTACAAGACGGGGGGACTGTCCACGCCGCATACGGGACGGTCTGCACGGCGAACAAGACGGGGGGACTGTCCGTGCGGCCTACGGGCGGCTGCTTAAAATGTTTTTATTAATATCAAATAAATATCTAGCACAAATGATGCATGATATGTTTACATTCATCATTTGTATATTTTACTTTACACTCATATTTAGTTTGTGAGACTGTAGTTTATCATCTCTCTCTCCCTCTGTCTCTCTCTCTGTCTCTCTCTCTCTCTCTCTCTGTCTCTCTCTCTCTCTCTCTCTCTGTCTCTCTCTCTCTGTCTCTCTCTCTCTCTCTGTCTCTCTCTCTCTCTCTCTCTCTGTCTCTCTCTCTGTCTCTCTCTCTCTCTCTCTGTCTCTCTCTCTCTCTCTCTCTCTCTCTCTCTCTCTCTCTCTCTCTCTCTCTCTCTCTCTCTCTCTCTCTCTGTCTCTCTCTCTCTCTCTGTCTCTCTCTCTCTCCCTCTGCTCTCTCTCTCTCTCTCCTCTGTCTCTCTCTCTCTCTCTCTCTCTCTCTCTCTCTCTCTCTCCCTCTGTCTCTCTCTCTCTCTCTCTCTGTCTCTCTCTCTCTCTCTCTCTCTCTCTCTGTCTCTCTCTCTCTCTCTCTCTCTCTCTCTCTCTCTCTCTCTCTCTCTCTCTCTCTCTCTCTCTGTCTCTCTCCTCTCTGCTCTCTCTCCCTCTGTCTCTCTCTCTCTCTCTGCTCTCTCTCTCCTCTGTCTCTCTCTCTCTCTCTCTCTCTGTTTCTCTCTCTCTCTCTGTCTCTCTCCCTCTGTCTCTCTCTCTGTCTCTCTATCTCTCTCTCTTTCTTTCCCTCCCTCTTATCTCTCTCTTTCTGTCTCCTTCTTCCTCTGTCTTCCGCACTCTGTCTCCCTCTGTCTCTCTTTCTCTTATCTCTATTCCTCTGTCTCTCTCTCCGTCCCTCCGTCCCTCCGTCCCTCTCTCTTTCTCCAGGTGAGCGTTACCTGTCCGTTCCTCCTCTTAAACCTGGACAGAGGTCTCTCAGAGGGGCTCGTCTCTCTCTCGCTGTAGCTCCGCCCCTCAGCCTGGGCCCCGCCTGCTTCTCCTTCTCCCATTGGCTGACGGGGCATCATGTGGGCGTGGTCCAGGTCTTCCTCAGAAGTGGGCGGGACCACAGGTAAAGACATTTTACGCCTCGCCTGTTTGACCGTTTGGGGTGGAGTATCTGCCAAAAAAGGGATCTTTACTATATGAACTTTACACTGAGATCACACTGGGGGGGTGCTACGTGGATCTATATTGCGGAATGTTCAGCAGTTACCATGGTGACTCAGTTGCCTTCTAGGTTAGAATAGGTTAGGTTAGTTTATTGGTTTAGACCTGGTTTAGTCCTGGTTTAGTCCTGGTTTAGACCTGGTTTAGAACTGGTGTAGTCCTGGTTTAGACCTGGTTTAGACCTGGTTTAGTCCTGGTTTAGTCCTGGTTTAGTCCTGGTTTAGTCCTGGTTTAGACCTGGTTTAGAACTGGTGTAGTCCTGGTTTAGACCTGGTTTAGACCTGGTTTAGTCCTGGTTTAGTCCTGGTTTAGAACTGGTGTAGTCCTGGTTTAGACCTGGTTTAGTCCTGGTTTAGTTTTGGTTTAGTCCTGGTTTAGACCTGGTTTAGAACTGGTGTAGTCCTGATTTAGACCTGGTTTAGTCCTGGTTTAGTCCTGGTTTAGACCTGGTTTAGTCCTGGTTTAGTCCTGGTTTAGACCTGGTTTAGTCCTGGTGTAGTCCTGGTTTAGACCTGGTTTAGTCCTGGTTTAGTTTTGGTTTAGTCCTGGTTTAGACCTGGTTTAGAACTGGTGTAGTCCTGATTTAGACCTGGTTTAGTCCTGGTTTAGTCTTGGTTTAGTCCTGGTTTAGTCCTGGTTTAGTTTTGGTTTAGTCCTGGTTTAGACCTGGTTTAGAACTGGTGTAGTCCTGATTTAGACCTGGTTTAGTTTTGGTTTAGTCCTGATTTAGACCTGGTTTAGTCTTGGATTAGACCTGGTTTAGACCTGGTGTAGTCCTGATTTAGTCCCAGTTTAGTCTTGGATTAGACCTGGTTTAGTCTTGGTTTAGTCCTGGTTTAGACCTGGTTTAGTCTTGGATTAGACCTGGTTTAGACCTGGTGTAGTCCTGATTTATTCCCAGTTTAGTCTTGGATTAGACCTGGTTTAGTCCTGCTTTAGACCTGGTTTAGTCTTGGTTTACTCCTGGTTTAGTTGGATTAGACCTGTTTTCGTCTTGGATCAGACCTGGTATAGTCCTGGATTAGACCTGGTTTAGTCCTGGTTTAGTCCTGGTATAGTCCTGGATTAGACCTGGTTTAGTCCTGGTTTAGTCTTGGATTAGTCCTGGTTTAGTCCTGGTTTAGTCTTGGTTTAGGCCCAGTTTATTTCTCCATGGAGTTAGATTTAATGCCATCCTGTGGGATATTTTAGGACCAACATTTCCGTGGAAAAAAGCAGGAAGAGGTTTTTAAGTGCAACACAATCATAAACAAACAAACAAACCACGCTTTTATTTTAGCCTCTTTTTTGACTAAAATATTACGCAGTGGGGCTTTAACCAGAGTCCTGAATCACAATATCACCAAAATAACTTCACATCACAATTATTTAGTAGTTTTAGTCTCATCTTTCTCTCTGGGTTGTGTCAGATATGGCTCTGCTGTCTGGAGCAGGACTGGAGGACACGGCTGGAGACAAACTCAAATCACTCTGGACAAAAACTCTGTCGATCGGGTCAGTACCTCACACCTTCTATTAGGGCTAAAAACAGATTATACTTCTGAATCATGAGTTTAGTCTGACTTTTACTCATTACGGGTACTTCTATCGCTCAAAAATACAGTAATTCCTTCTGTGAATAGGGGCGCCTCTCCACAGATCTGATCTGTAATATAGGAAAGTGCTGCCCAAACAGCCCAAATGACGTCCCTTTCTCACTGTGAAACCGATCATATTTGTCTTTTATCACTCGTAAACTGTGATTTCTTTTCAGATTTTGGTGAAGGCCGAGCGGAGGAGAGGGCACAGGGGCCAAATCGCCATCGACGACCTCAGACTCAGACGCGGCCCTTGCAGATGACATCACACCAGTGCAGTGCTCTGATTGGACTGTTTGTTTTATAGATCCCGCTTCTTCCCTCGCCCAAGATAAAACATCCATAAAACGTATTTAAAGAACATGTTTCAGAAAAAGACCTGTACAATAATAATAATAAGAAGAAGACATTGTAATATGACTTGAAATATTTTATAATAAAAACACGTAGAAACCTACATTTTTCATAACATCAGTCAGTGTAGATCAAGGGGAAGACAGACGTAGTCCTGGGTTAAACCTAGTTTAGTCCAAGATTTGATTTAGTCCTAGTTTACATTTGGTTTAGACCTGGTTTAGAATTTATTTAGAACTGGTTTAGGCCTAGTTCAGACCTGGTTTAGTCCTGGTTTAGACCTGGTTTAGTCTTGGATTAGACCTGGATTAGTCCTGGTTTAGACCTGGTTTAGTCTTGGATTAGACCTGGATTAGTCCTGGTTTAGACCTGGTTTAGTCTTGATTTAGACCTGGTTTTGTCCTGGTTTAGATCTAATTTAGACCTGGTTTAGACCTGATTTAGACCTGGACTAGTTCGAGTATAGACATGGTTTAGTCTTGGTTTAGTTCTGGTTTAGACCTGATTTAGTCCTAGTTTAGTCCTGGTTTAGACCTGGTTTATTCTTGGATTAGACCTGGTTTAGTCCTGGTTTAGACCTGGTATTGTCCTGGTTTAGAGCTGGTTTAGAACTGGATTAGTTCAAGCACAGACCTGGTTTAGTCCTGGTTTAGTTCTAGTTTAGCCTGGTTTAGCTGTTTGCTGTTTCCTTAAATCCAGGTGTGATCAGGTGTGTGTTGAATTACAGGTAAACATCATCTGTCACCGCGAGAGCACCTGCCCTGCCCCTACGCTTCAACTTTGACCTCTCCTCTCTCACCTCTACCTGTGGGGCGAGCAACCCCCACCTCCTCTCTTTCTCTCTCTCTTCTCCAGTCTTTTTAGAAATGCCATGGTTTGAGGACTTTTTCACCTTCAAAAGACATAATATTTTGTTTTTAAATTGTTAATCACTATGGTAACGGTCCAATTTTTCCGAAACTCCTGCTGACAGTTTTATCGTCTATTGTGGGTGCTGCAGCTGTTCAGACAGGAAGGGAGGGACCAGGCGTCTGACAAGCCGATCATTTGAGTCAATCACAACCATCTGCTCAGAGCTCGGCCCAGTTTAGAATTTTTGAAAAGTTAATTTACACAAACAGAAAATTCTGGCTTCTTGGGTTACAAATATTCCAAACCTATTCTGTAAACTGGACTTTTCAGAGCTTTTAACCACATTATAGTTGTTTCCTTCTCATTTACTCAGTTGAAGTTGTATTTGGAGTGATTAGTTTGAGTCATCTTTAGTCGATTATTTTCAAAAAGATATATTGCTGATCGCCCACTGTTCTGTACTTACTTCGTTCTTCAGTTTTATTTTCTTAATTGGTGACACATGTAGGACTGACCAGTGTTGAGTAGTTATTTTGGTCCAAATGTAAAAAAAAACTAAACACTCTGCTCTTGTGTGATGTGCATCTATTCACAGGAGGGGCCCACAGCATGCGGCGCTTTGTTGTCATGATGTTTACGGTGACGTCAGCTCCCACTGGACGCCACAGTCGTCTAATGCGGAAATCAGCGGATTTTATGAAAGTCGTTTTAGATCAGTTTTGTGATTAACATGGCCAATTACAAAGGCGGAGAAATGCAAGTTGTGACTTGGACTAGAGTCAGACTTGAGTCACTATTTTTAGGACCTGAGACTTGAGTTGATAATGGACTAAAACTTGTTGGGACTTGACCTGGACTTGAAGGTCAGTGACTTGGAACTCGACTTAGATTTGAGCCCTGTGACTTGAGGAGACTCATTGCATCTCCTAAAAAATATGTGTTCTTTGAAAATACTTTTCTCTTTACAGTTATAAATACGGTGCTTAAGTTTACAGGAACAAACTGGAACATGTCACTCTCACTTTTCTCTTTGTTACTTTGGATGGAGCTGAAGTTCTATGATATGATGTCCTCAAATACAATACAGTAATGCACAATACAATACAGTACAATACAATACTATACAGTACAATAAGATACAATAATATACAGTACAATACAGTAATATACAGTACTATAGAGTACAATACAGTACAATAATATACAATATAATGCACAATACAATAATGCACAATACAATAATGCACAGTACAATACAGTAAATAAGAGGGACCTGCATAGAACATGGTCCTTCCATTTCAGTGCAGACTAAATGACAAAATAACTGATATGAAGCACTTTTAAATCTGAATTCTTTCTATTCTAACCATAATAATTTAATGACCGCATTTTTACAGCTCTTACATAAATACTCATATATAAATATACCATGACTTTTGAAGTACAGTTTAGTTTAAACCTCATAAATTGCAAAAATTTAAGCTATATTTGAAAAGACATGAAATGACTTGAGGCTCAAAGCAGACGACTTGGACTTGACTTGGATTTATGGGCCAATGACTTGAGACTCGACTTGGACTTTCCTGTATTTGACTTGGGACTTGAGGTCAAAGATTTGAGAATTACTTGAGACTTGCAAAACAACAATAACAGAATGATCCACAGTGTGATTAGAACTACAGACACACAAGCACAATATGTCTGATTTAAAGGAGATGGGTGGGCAGGAAAAAAACACCTCCTCTCTCCACTTCTCTTTCTACCCCACCCTCCTCTCCCTCTATCCATCCTCAACTGTAAAACAGATGCATCAAGAATCTCAGACTTCCGGTCATTGTGCAATTCATACTGGGAAGGATTTTCCGAAAAAGTGAGCATCAAACCTCCATCTTTGTTTTCCCAGTGGGATGTGTCTATTGACAAAGTCAGTCTTTCTTGGTGAACAGTTGGTGCCTTTCACTTTGGCGTTAACTTTTTAAATTCGTAACCAAGGTGGAGCGAGGGATTGGGGTTTTGCTTTGTTGTCGCTCCACATACAAAATGTTCACTGCAAACTCAGGATGATTTAGGCAGTTAAAGGTTTCCTTTTTGGTTCTTCCTGTGGATCAATCCTGCCCATCACCTTCACCTTTCACTATTTTTCAATTCTGTTGGGAAGAGAAACAGTTTGAACACTGTGTAAACACAGTTTACACTCACACAGATCTGATTCCCTTTTGCATTTACGGAATTCACAAACAAATTTCTCGAGCCGTTTTCCGCTGTTAGGATCCAACAACCACAGAATTACAATGTCTGAATCCCAAAACTAAAATATGACAATATCAGAACCAGAAACAAAAGTGATATGGTTCAAAAGACTAGAAAAGATCGACTTTGTCAATAGACACATCCCACTGGGAAAACAAACATGGAGGTTTGATGCTCACTTTTTTGGAAAATCCTTCCCAGTATGAATTGCACAATGACTGGAAGTTCGAAATTCTTGATGCATCTATATGTCAATGCCATACTGCGGAACATCTCTAGACAAGCAGAAAGGTCACTATTGAGGTACATAGTGCTTCTGGAAGTGTTTTAGAAGTGCAAAAAAGAAAGAAATTCAAAAGCATGGACTCCTAACTTGCTTGCCTCTCCATATACTTGACCTGTAATTTGCCTTCCTTGTCAGATAACTTTAATGCAGAACATTCTTGGCAAAGCAATAACAACTCCACAGCAGACCCTCCACCGCAAAGGTTGCTTTAAAGACGGCGTTCAACTAAAGGAAATCTAAATTGGAAGTTAATAGTGGAAATTCCCCATGGACCAAACCCACCTTGTACTTATCCATCGCAGAGTCTTAAATCTTGTGTGTGGAGCAGCAGTAAAAGTGCTCTGAGCTGTAATCAAACCGAGCAAAGGATCAGAGGGTTTAAGCGAAAGAGGGGGTCCACTCAGCGTGCGATAACTGAAAATAAAACAAGTTTAAAGGATCCTATATCACGCAAAATTGACTCTTGTGAACTTTAAAGTTGTCCTCAAAAACAAACCTAGAGTTGTGTTTTGTTTCTTTGTCCACGTCACCTGTATTACCACCGGTGTCGGGGAGGTGACTTTTAAAATGTATTCCCCTACAGATTACAGATTACATACAACAAAATGTAGTTTGTAAATTTCTTAAGGTGAGTAATGTAATCTGAATACTTTGGATTACTTGATTTGCTGTAGAGAAGCAAAGACAAGGAAATCGTAACATAAGATGTTTTATCTGCTAAAAGAAAATAAAAAGCCCAGACTTTATTTAACGAAATTAAAAATATTATTGATAGAAGACGAGGAGACACGTCCACACAGCAGGATTTAGTCCTGTTAAATACTGTTTTAGACCTGGTTTAGTCCCGGTTTAGACCTGGTTTCATCCTGGTTTAGTCCTGGTTTAGATGTGGTTTAGACTATGATTTAGACTTTGTTTAGACCTGGTTTAGACCTGGTTTTAGTCCTGGTTTAGACCTGGTTTTGATCTAGTTTAGACCTGGGTTTAGACCTGGTTTAGACCTGATTTTGTCCTGGTTTAGATCTGGTTCAGACCTGGTTTTAGTCCTGCTTTAGTCCTGCTTTAGTCCTGGTTTAGATGTGGTTTAGACTATGATTTAGACTTTGTTTAGACCTGGTTTAGACCTGGTTTAGACCTGATTTCATCCTGGTTTAGATCTGGTTCACACCTGGTTTTAGTCCTGCTTTAGTCCTGGTTTAGTCCTGGTTTAGTCCTGGTTTAGTGTCCGACAATGAGTGGAATTTCCAAAAAAAAAAAAAAAAAAAAAAAGGGAATAGCCCAAAATGTGAAAACAGGAAAATCCCGCCGTGTAATCCATTTATTTCAACAAAGTAACTGTAATCCAATTACCACTCACTGAAACAGTAAATCTGTTACTCCCCAACATTCATTACCACATGACATCACAAGGTAGAACAGAGTGTTTTCTGTTTGAGAGAAGAGCATGTGAATGAAACAAACCACAACTCCAGGTCTGTTTGTGATGAAGAAACAACATTATAACACAGATCAGAAAATAGAGTAACACGAGTCCTTTAAAGATCATGTTTTTGTAACTCTTTACACTTTTAGACCTTGTAAGAAAATACT